GCTTGAACCTGGGAGGTGGAGGTTACGGTGAGCGGAGATGGTGCCACTGCACTCCAGCCTGGGCGACAGAGTGAGACTCTGCCTCAAAAAACATTATTTAAATATGTTTTCTCCCACCCCCATTAAATGTTAAATCCAGAAATTATGTTTCAAGAGTGGCCTATTTATCTTGGCCCACCTATGTTAGAATTAAGTAAGATGAAGTACATAGCAAACATAAAAGGTGTTTAATAAATGGTAATTATTTGAACCCTGAGTACCCTACTGCTTCCTGGAATATACACTTTAATTTTGGGTTTGGGAAGTGATAACTATATAAAGCCTTGCTATTATGCTCCATAACATCTTGAAGGACATTCAGGTCTAATTGCTCTATTTGCTACAAAGAACTGTCTTATTTTTAGCCATTTATAAAAATGCTGAGAGTCCAGAATATAGTACAAATATTTATTGTTTACACTAGGTCTTTCGATTAATACCAAGTCAACCGTGGTGAGTCATTCTTTTAACTATGTGGAGAGTGTATTGTACGGGACAATATTTGAAGGAAGGAGACTGAATAAAAGGCTTCTGCACCAGCCCACCTGGGTTCAAGACATATTTTAGAGGTAGAAGCAACAGGACTTTACTGATATATGGGCTGAGGCAGGTGAGAGAATGGAGGAGCCACATTTGACACCTAACTTCTGGCTTGAGCAGTTGGGTCGATTGTGGTGCTACACCCTGAACTGGCATGAGGGACAGGATGGGTAGACATACTAAGTTTGAGATGTCTGTGAGACACCCAAAAAAAGAATTCAAGAAACCAGCTGGACACCTCCAAATAAAAACGGTATGTCTGCAAGATATTTTACACTCTTCCTTCAACAGGTGAATGAATAAACAGGCACATCTATATAATGGGATATTATTCAGTGCTAAGAAGAAATGAACTACAATGAAAAGACCACAGATGAATCTTAAGTGCATATTACTAACTGGAAGAAGCCAGTCTGATAAGGCGACACACTGTATGATTCCAAATATATGACACTGTAGAAAAGGCACAACTATAGAGACAGTAAAAAGATCTCTGGTTGCCAGAAGTTAGCAGGGAAGGATGACTAGGTGGAGCACAGAGGATTTTTTAGGGCAGTGAAACTACTCTGTATGATATAATGGTGGATACATATTTTAAATTTGCCAAAACTCATAGGATGTACACTAAGAATGAGCCCGATGGTAATGATATGTCCATGTTGGTTCATCAGATGAAACAAATGCGCCACTCCACCAGATGTTGACGGTGGAAAAGGTTGTGCAGGTGGGGCAGGGGGGAGAGGAGGGTGGAATATGGGAACTCCCCTTTCCACTTGATTTTGTTGTAAACCTGAAACAGTTCTGAAAAATAAAGTCTATGGCCAGATGCGGTGGCTCACGCCTGTAATCCTAACACTTTGGGAGGTTGAGGCAGGCGGATCACCTGAGGTAAGGAGTTTAAGACCAGCCTGGCCAACATGGTGAAACCCCATCTCTACCAAAAATACAAAAGATTAGCTGGGTGTGGTGGTGGCGCTAGTAATCCCAGCTACTCAGGAGGCTGAGGCAAGCGGAATCACTTGAACCCCAGGAGGCAGAGGTTGCAGTGAGCAGAGATCGCACCTCTGCACTCCAGCCTGGGTGACGAGAGGGACACTCTGTCTCAAAAAATAAATAACAATAAAATCTATAAACACCTAACAACACATCTTAACTAGAAAAGCAAAAGCAAACCCCAAATTCGTAGAAGACATAATAACAGCAGAAACAAATGAAACTGAAACACCCCAAAATACAAAAGATTTTTAAAAATGAACTTGGTTTACTTTGAAAACAAAATCAACAAACCTTTAGCCAGACTAAGAAAAAGGAATACCTAAGTAAATAAAATCAAAGATGAAAAAGGAGACATTACAACTGATACCGCAGAAATCTGAAGAAGCATCAGACTACTGGGAACAAATATATGCCAAAAAACTGGAAAACCTACAAGAAGTAGATACATTCCTTGACACATTTTTTTTTTTTTTAAAGTCTACATCCAAAGTAGGGATTGTGAAAAAAAATAATTTTAAAAAGTCTAATGGGGGCTGGAGATGGGGTGGCTTAAACACTCTCTCTCCTAGTTCCATGAAATAAATCCCAGAGAGTAACTGCTGGTTCTATGCCCATCACCGGGATATCACTGTGGTCATGAGAATGGGATATAAGTTGACCAGGTTGAGTCACATGTCCGTTACTGTGAGTCGCGATGGGGCAGCAATGGACATAGCTGGGTGTTCCATTTAGCAGCATCCTCAGAATCACTGGATTCTGGTGGAAGAGGAAGAGCGGTCCAAGGGAAGATGTGAGGGGACAGAAGAGAGGGGAAAGGGTGATGAGTAAAATTTAAAAAATAATTGCTACTCCCTTGCCAGATTTTATGTAGGTATAAAAAGTTCTCTTCAGGCCAGGCACGGTGGCTCATGCCAGTAATCCCAGCACTTTGGTAGGCTGAGGCAGGTAGATCATGAGGTGAAGAGTTCAAGACCAGCCTGGCCAATATGGTGAAACCCGTCTGTACTAAAAATACAAAAATTAGCTGGGCGTGGTGGCGGGCACCTGTAATCCCAGCTACTCAGGAGGCTGAGGCAGAGAATTGCTTGAACCCAGGAGGTGGAGGTTGCAGTGAGCCGAGATTGTGCCACTGCATACTCCAGCCTGCTGGGCAACAGAGATTCTTTCAAAAAAAAAAAAAGTTTCCTTCAACACATATTAAAGAGGAAATTTCTCTTTGTTTTTCTTTCTTTTCTTCCTCCCTCCCTCCCTTCCTTTCTCACTCTCTCTTTCCTTCCTTCTCTTTGTGTGTGTGTGTGTGTCTTGCTCTATTTCCCAAGCTGTGTGTGTGTGTGTGTGTGTGTGTGTGTGTGTGTCTTGCTCTATTTCCCAAGCTGGAGTGCAGTGGCAAGTGAATCGCCTGAGTTCAAGACTAGCCTGGCCAACACGGAAAAACCCCGTCTCTACTAAAAATACAAAAAATTACCCAGGCAAGGTGGCTGGCGTCTATAATCCCAGCTACTCAGGAGGCTGAGGCAAGCGAATCGCTTGCACCTGGGAGGCGGAGGTTACAGCGAGCCGAGATCATGCCACTGCACTCCAGTCTGGGCAACAGAGCAAGACTCTGCCTCAAAAGAAAAAAAAAAAAAAAGATACTGCACTAATAAGAACTGATACTACCCTTTATCTTAGCCAAAAGGCTGAGAAGTGATTAAATAATTTTGTATACAAAAATATAACTATGAGAGCCAGTTTTAGCCAATGAGATGTGAGGAGTCTCCTGTGTGGGACTTTCAAGAAAGTTACTATTTCCTGATCAGATGGAAAAATACAACTGTTAATTGCCTTCTGTGCTTCACTCTGTGCCTGCCTATAACGTAGACATTAGATCTAAATGTACTTCACTATCTTGCAAGCATGAAGACAAAGGCTACACACTAAAGATGGGAGAAAGAAAGACAGGAGGAACCTGTCTACCTAATGGCATTGTGGAAGCACCTTCCCAGCCCTGGACTTCTATCTCCAGACTTCTATCGAAGGAAAAGACCCAGTTACTTGGTCAAGCCACCACAGTTGGGTTTCTATTACATGCAGCAGAATAATGATACCTTAAATGATACATCACTTTTATTATTCTGTAGAAATTACAAGTCATAGATGGGTACTAAAAACATAAAACCCAGGCTGGGCGCAGTGGCTCACACGTGTAATCCCAGCATTTTGGGAGGCTGAGGTGGGCAAATCACCTGAGGTCGGGAGTTCAAGACCAGCCTGACCAACATGGAGAAACCCCGTGTCTACTAAAAATACAAAAAATTAGCCGGGCGTGGTGGCGTATGCCTGTAATCCCAGCTACTCGGGAGGCTGAGGCAGGAGAATCACTTGAACCTAGGAGATGTTGCAGTGAGCCAAGATGGCACCATTGTACTTCAGTCTGGGCAACCAGAGCAAAACTTACGTCTCAATTAAAAAAAAAAAAAGTAACAAAAAAAAACACCTCTCATCATTTTCTACGTAAGACCAGAGATGTGTATTTAAGATGGTTGATTAGGACTGGGTGCAGTGACTCATGCCTGTAATCCCAGCACTTTGGGAGGCAGAGGCGGGAAGATCACCTGAGGTCAGGAGTTCAAGACCAGCCGAGCCAACATGGCAAAACCCCGTCTCTACTAAAAATACAAAAAATTAGCCAGGTGTCATGGTGGCTGCCTGTAATCCCAGCTATACGGGAGGCTGACACAGGAGAATTACTGGAACCTGGGAGGCAGAGGTTGCAGGTTGCAGTAAACCGAGATCATACCACTGCAATCCAGCCTGGGCGACAGGGCAAGACTCCATCTCAAATAATAATAAGAAGAAGAAGAAGAAGAAGAAGAAGAAGAAGATGGTTGATTAGGGTTCACTGTGTGGCTGTGGGAAGCTATTTATTTGGTATAAGAACTGAAACCGGCTGGGCACGGTGGCTCACTCCTGTAATCCCAGCACTTTGGGAGGCCGAGGCGGGTGGATCACAAGGTCAAGAGATGGAGATCATCCTGGCCAACATGGTGAAACCCCGTCTCTACTAAAAATACAAAACTTAGCTGGGCATAGTGGCATGCGCCTGTAGTCCCAGCTACTCAGGAGGCTGAGGCACGAGAACCGCTTGAACCTGAAAGGCGGAGGTTGCAGTGAGCTGAGATTGTGCCACTGCACTCTAGCCTGGCGACAAAGCGAGACTGTCTCAAAAAAAAAAAAGTAAAACCAAGAATCTGACTGAATTGCTAATACTCTCAACTAGATGACTAAATAAGTTAAATTTCATCCCAGTTTGATTTTTATCAAATTGTATGGAATAGCACGGCGTTATTTTGAGAATCATAATTACTTTATGTGCGGCTGCTACTTACTCTCATTGAATTCTTACCTAATCAATGGACTAACAGTAACAAGTAATAAAAGCCATATCATTTCTCATTAACCTTTTATTTTTAACTTAGTTTTACAATAAACAGAAAAGAACTTGATCATTAAAAAAATACCATAGCTGTCAAGTTTAAATGAGGTTCTTATTAAACAAAGCAAGAACACTATATCCTACAATTACATCTTTACTTTTATATACAAGAACTGTGTGCAAAGTGCTTTTCAAACTATAAAATAAGACTTTGGAACAGGATAGAAATGGTTATCCCTAGGAGTTAGTTATCCCAGACTGCTTGTAATGATTCACAACTGCTTATACTCTTAATTTTCATTTTATTTATGTATATACTAAGAGAAAAGCCACTTCTTACTGATACCAAATTAATATCTAATTTTTTAAAATAATCTTTGATCCACGGGTCTAAATGTTATTTTTACATATAAATTCAGTTGCTTGCTTCACTTTTTCCTAAATAAATAGGGAACACTTTTTTAAAAGCAAATAGTAGTAGATCCCTTTAGATAGACATATTTTAATCAGTGTGGGATTAAATAATTAAAGTTATCTAAAAGAAAAAAATAAGGAAAAAAGGGTTTGGGAAAAGTAAATTGTATTCTTATACTTTTCAGGCAAACAAAAAACCATCCTGTATACTAAAGACAGATTAATTCTTTCTTATTTAAAACGCTCTGAACATATGATGCTAAACCCAACATCATACATCTTGAAAATGCTTAAGAATTATTTGCTACAGGCCAGGCGCAATGGCTCACGCCTGTAATCCCAGCCCTTTGGGAGGCTGAGGCAGGCAGATCACCTGAGGTTGGGAGTTTGAGATCAGCCTCATCAACATGGAGAAACCCCGTCTCTACTAAAAATACAAAATTAACCAGGCATGGTGGTGCACGCCTGTAATCCCAGCTACCTGGGAGGCTGAAGCAGGAGAATCGCTTGAACCCAGGAGGTGGAGGTTGCAGTGAGCCGAGATCGCGCCATTGCCCTCCAGCCTGGGCAACAAGAGAGAAACTCCGTTTAAAAAAAAAAAAATTATTTGCTACAAAGAGTGAATCAAAGAAATCTTCAAAGCACAAGGTACATCTAAGTGAGCAGGAAGTTTTGGAAGGCATACAGGAGAAGTCTCCAAGGATCTAAATTATAGTCTTCTTTTTGGTCTAGATGAGAGAGGTGGGGAAGAGGGACTTAAATTTCTGTTAGTTAGGCATGCCTTATTCCTATGGAAGCATTTGGCCCGTTAGCTTGCAAATCCCTCCAGTACTCCTGTGAAGTAGGTGTATCTAAAATAGTATACCCCGAAGGAAAAACTGAGGCACTAAGAGGTTAAGAGTCCAGTCTGTATAGTTCATCAGTTGCACAAAAGTGATTTTCATGTGTTTCCTTTTTGACTGCTGTAAAAACAGTAAAAATAAGTTTTCATTTTATATTTCAAAGCACCCTATGAAGCAGACACTGGATATCCTCAGTTAAAGAAAAATGATTACAAAGGAATACATTTGTATGGTTGAATAAAAACCTCATTAATCATCTACAGGCTCAGAATACACTTTTAAACCTACATGAAGCTCATTCTTCACCATTTCCATCGGCGCGTTATGTCTAGTCTGCAAATCATTTATAAAAACTCAGTCTGGTACATAGGACTCTACTTTTTAATAATGATGCCTGAACACCAAACTCAAGAGTTGTGAACGCCCAAGAAAGAATATGCGCAGCCCATAAAGTGAATATGACGTTTCTTCCTGTGGTTTTCTACTACGTGGCATGGCGACTCCGTGACTAAGATATGAAGTTGATTACATCTCATTTGAAATTCACTCTTGGTTTGCATTTTATTTAATTTAGAAAAATTAAAAATAATAACTTATAAATTTGATCTCATTATCACAATGGTACCTTTGAAAAGCAGCTTATGTTACTCTATGGAAGATAATCAGGTAAACTTGTTACCAAATGATCATTAATAATTTAATGTCCTTCAAGTTCAAGGGCAGGGTAAATTTGTGTATACTACTTATAACCTAGCAGAGATTGATTATTCAAGTATCAGCAATATTAGTCCTTAAAATGTTATCGCTTGTGTAGTGCAAAATATATATGTGTATATATGTACACAAACCAAACTACTGGACAAAAAACGCAATGTAATCATCACAAACTAAGATTTTCTTGTCAACAGCACAATCCAGTTCATTCTGAGGTCATCCAGTTCCAGTAGTCTTCTTGAGGGAAATACCATTTTCCTCAGTTCAGTTTTCTTTAAAAAGAAAATAAAAACCAATTTTCTGTGAGTATGAATGCAAATAATTCTCTGGATGGTAATACAATAATACCATTCAAATTCAAAATAAAACCATAACATTACCAACAGTCTTTATAAAACTACTTCATATGACTTGCAGCCCGATAGGAAAGATCCAATTACAAGTGCTGACATTACCAAACAATTTTAAATTATTTATTTATTGTTTGAGGCAAAGTCTTGCTCTGTCGTCCAGGCTGGAGTGCAATGGCGCCATCTTGGCTCACTGCAACCTCCGCCTCCCGGGTTCAAGCAATTCTCCTGCCTCAGCCTCGCAAGTAGCTGGCATTACAGGTGCCCGCCACCACACCCGGGTAATTTCTGTATTTCTAGTAGAGACAAGGTTTCGCCATCTTGAACTCCTGACCTCAGGTGATCTACCCACCTCAGCCTCCCAAAGTGTTGGGATTACAGGCGTTAGCCATGGCGCCTGGCCATCCCAGCCAGTTTTTAATAATTAATTTAAATGCACATTCATCCTCTCTTACCTTCTAGATTCTTACCCTTTTCTAATTGGCTGTGACACAATTAAGATTTGTGGAAATGACTTCATAATTTTATCAAAATGGAAAAGTTGTGAAACAAATGCTTGGCAAAACTGTAAGAGGATAATAGATGTAAGACCTGGACTATTCATTTAATCAACATGAGTTATGTTTCTATTGGTTTCCAGGCTCTGTGCCAGGCCCTGGGCTTTCAGAGATAAACAAGGCAGGCTCTCAGGCCTCAAGACAGCTCTCGGTTTAGGTGGTAGAGGAGGAAGAGGCATATAAACCCCAAACTTGGATATATACAATGTGATGGTTTCAAAGACAGAAGAGTGAATGAACTATCAGAAAAGGCTGAGCTCGTTAGCACAAGACACACAATCACATATAATCTGAGTTCTGCTCCAAAATCTACAAACCCTGCCCAGCACTCAAGATGCCAAAATGCCTGAAACTCTCATAACAGATTGATTCCTCTCTGTAGAAATACGCTTATGCAACTCCTTTGGCAGGAGTGATATTTTAAATAATCAGATCATTCCTTATCCTCTACAGAAATCCTCTTATGTACATCTCCTTGGCAGGAGTGACATTTTAAACAGTCAGATCAACTTTCACATAACAGAAGGAGATCCCAGCTGCATGAAGAAAACAGGCCCCTGGAGGAAGAGAACTGAAATGGTTGACAAAGATAAGAGAGATGTGGATCGTTGTAAAGACAAACTGCCTGAGTGAGGTTTGAGCAAAAATGTTAGCCGCAGGGTGCCTGAACAATTAGCAACACTTATCAAGAATCTGCGTGATGCAGATTACTACACACAATCCTTTGCAGATTTATAAAAGGGCAGACAAAGCTGGAACAGTAGCTCATGCCTGTAATCCCAGCACTTCCGGAGGCCGAGGCGGGCGGATCACGAGGTCAGGAGATCAAGACCATCCTGCTAACACGGTGAAACTCCATCTCTACTAAAAATACAAAAAATTAGCCAGGCATGGTGGCATGCTCCTGTAGTCCCAGCTACTCGGGAGGCTGAGGCAGGAGAATCGCTTGAACCTGGGAGGCGCAGGTTGCAGTGAGCCAAGATCACGCCACTGCACTCCAGCCTGGGAGCCAGTTCAAGCTATTCTCCTGCCTCAGCCTCCTGAAATGCTGGGATTACAGGTGTGAGCCACTGTGCCCAGTCTGAACCCCTAATCTTCTAAGGTAATAGAGTGAACATAAATCACTGTCTTCAGAACTTTAGACTTGTTTTCAGGCTCTTAGTGAGATCTTTCTGTTTTGTTTGTTTTAAATCAACTTGCAAAATGGAGGGTATAGTGTGATAGAAGAAAAGTCACAGGAAACAACAGATAAGGGAAGAGGAATAAATTCTGCCTTACCCCTTACCGCGGTGAATGCTGCTCTAGCTGCACTGCTGCGGTTCCTTCTCCTCCTTAGAAGCCCGGGCCTGACTTTTTGTGTCAGTGCCTTCTGCCCTAGGCTCCATTTGGAGAATATTCTTCCTGAGACCCTCCCCACTCCCAACAAGTTTGTATTTATTACCTCTCTACTGAAGGCTGAATGTCCCCAAGATTACATGATAGCACATTTAGGAATCTGGGCAGGCTGCTTAAGAAAACTGGTTAGTCAAGACTATCCTGGCTAACACGGTGAAACCCCATCTCTACTGAAAATACAAAAACAAAATTAGTCGGGCGTGGTGGCGGGCACCTGTAGTCTCAGCTACTCGACTACTCGGGAGACTGCGGGACAATGGCGTGAACCCGGGATGGGGAGCTTGCAGTAAACCAAAATAATGCCACCGCAATCCAGCCTGGGCGATAGAGCGAGACTCTATCTCAAAAAAGAAAACTGGTTAGAAACATCCTTTCCTTCAAAGTAATGTCAGAGGCATGTGAACCAGAGCAACTCCATCTTGAATAGGATCTGGGTAAAATGAGGCTGAGATCTACTGGGCTGCATTCCCAGACGGTTAAGCCATTCTAAGTTACAGGATGAGACAGCAGGTCGGCACAAGATACAGGTCATAAAGACCTTGCTGATAAAACAGGTTGCAGTAAAAAAGCTGGCTAAAACCCACCAAAACCAAGATAGTGATGAGAGTGACCTTTGGTCTTCCTCACTGCTACACTCCCACCAGTGCCATGACAATTTACAAATGCCATGGCAACATCAGGAAGTTACCCTATATGGTCTAAAAAGGGGAAGCACGAATAATCCACCCCTTGTTTAGCATATCATCAAGAAATAACCACAAAAATGGGCAACGAGCAGCCATTATTCTATCCCTGTACTTTCTTTTTTCTTTTTTTTTTTTTTTGAGATGGAGTCTCACTGTGTCACCTAGGCTGGAGTACAGTGGCATGATCTCAGCTCACTGCAACCTCCACCTCTGGGTTCAAGCAATTCCCCTGCCTCAGCCTCCCTAGTAGCTGGGATTATGGGCACCAGACCACAACCAGCTAATTTTTGCATTTTTAGTAGAGATGGGGTTTCACCATGTTGGTCAGGCTGGTCTCGAACTCCTGACCTCAGATGATGGGCCCGCCTCAGCCTCCCAAAGTGCTGGGATTACAGGCGTGAGCCACCACACATGGCCCATTCCTCTACCTTCTTAAACTTGCTTTCACTTTACTCTTACAGACTTGCCCTGAATTTTTTCTTGCACAAGATCCAATAACTCTCTCTTGGGGTCTGGATTGGGGCCCCTTTCTTGTAACAGTAATATTTAGGCTGGGCATGGTGGTTCAGTCCTGTAATCCCAGTACGAGAGAGACTGAGGTGGGAGGATCTCTTGAGGGCAGGAGTTCAAGACTAGCCTTGGCAATATAGTGAGACCCCATCTCAACAAAAACTAAGAAAATTAGCTGACACCTGCCTGTAGTCCCAGCTTCTCAGGAGGCTGAGGCAGGAGGATTGCTTGAGCCCAGGAGTTTGAGGCTGCAATGACCAATGATTGTGCCATTACACTGCAACCCAGGCAAGAGAGTGAGACCCTGTCTCAGATAAATAAATAAATAAAGTAATAATTTAAGAGTAGTACTTAGACTTAACAGGTCTGCTTTCAGTATTTAACTCAAGGATAATTTTAATAGCAGAGTTGTCAGGCTAGACAACCAGGGACAGGTGTTACCACAGGAGACCGTTCAGGGCCTATTTCTGAACAAGAAGTCTGCAGGCTTTGTTCTTCCTATCACACACAGAATTTTCTTCTGATTCATTGCAGAGTGATAGCGTAAGAAATCTCTTTTACTTTTAAATTTATATTATTCCACACTAGGAAAAGAAAACAGCAGACTTTATGTATTACTTTTAATGTTGAAGGAAAAGATATTTATTTTCAAAAGCTTATCACAGGTTCAGTGTGCTGGCTCACGCCTGTAATCCCAACACTTTGGGAAGCCGAGGCGGCTGGATCACCTGAGATCAGGAGTTCGAGACCAGTCTGGTCAACATGGTGACACCCCATCTCTAATAAAAATACAAAAATTAGTTGGGCGTGGTGGCGCATGCCTGTAGTCCCAGCTACTCAGGAGGCTGAGGCAAGAAAATCACTTGAACCCAGAAGGCAGAGGTTGCAGTGAGCCGAGATCACGCCACTGCACTCCAGCCTCCAGTCCTATATGTTTTATATACATATAAGACTATCCTATCTCTATTGGACATATCCTAGTATGTCTGTGTCCACATGCATATTTATTCAATAAAATGAAAGCTTTTCCATGTCTTATGATAACTTCTGTTTGCCATCTTGCCCAAAGAGGGATTCAGTCATAGACTCAACACACATTTATTGAGCACCTACTACATGCCAGACACTGTTTTGCGGGATGAGCTACAGGATGATCCCTATTATGAGTAGGGCACACCCTCTATTTGCCCACACTTTCCCCATCCTAATCAGATTTCTAGACCTTTCTCTTAACATAGAACCTGTCTCTTCCAAACCATACAACTGCTCTCTGGTCTTCATTCCTTTAACTAGCAGATTAAAAATTGCTAAACAATGCTAGATGAAAAGATGTCTAAATCCCCTCAAGGCTAAAACTTATTTCCACCATATCAAATATGACCCTACCACCAACCACAGTTAATCTATTACATATATAAGCAAACAATATGTAAAATACTACACCTCATCAAAATGAAGTTGCACAGTGCTGCAGAATTTGCAATTTGGAAGGATCAAACAGTTAACATACAGTAAAAATCTTATAAAGGTTCAATAATAACCCAGTAGAAAATTAAAAATAGGAAAGAGTTTCTACATTCAGAGACATCTATGAACAGCTAAAAGGGATATTTAGGAGAAATAGTGAACAATCTTTTACAAAACTTCTACTATAAGGAACATTTTAAAAATTTTTAGAAAAACTCCAATTTTATGTGACTGTTGAAGCTGAGTGTGGTTTGTTTTTTCAGTCTTTAATGAATTGATAAACTGCTTCCATCTTAAACATAAAATAAATTATTAACCAAAGTAAGCTTTAGGTTTTTTTTTTTTTTTTTTTTTTTTCAGGCAAATTCCTCTACTCTCTAACTCCCAACTTTCCACAACGGAAACATGAAAAGGAACTTTGAGATGCATTAAAAATATGTAAACATCTACCCATAGTGGCACGGAGCTCTGCTGCTCATATCCAGCACTACTACATATCTAACAAACGCTTGGTTCTTCTTTCCTATTACCAGGGATATTTTAACGTAAAACACTGTATAGCACTAAACCCAACCATCACAGGAGGAATTGAAAATGTGTAAAAGAAGGAAAGAAAGGATTTAAATTCAGGTCTATATCTTTCTTTTTGATTTTTTGAGACAGTCTCACTCCGTCACCCAGGCTGGAGTGCAGTGGCATGATCATGATTCATGGCAACCTCAACCTCCTGGGCTCAAGTTGATCCTCCCGCCTCAGCCTCCCGAGTATCTGGGACTAGAGACGTGCACAACCAACCCGGCTAATTTTTTACTTAATTTTTTAAACTTTTTGTAGAGACAGTCTCACTTTCTCACCCAGGCTGTTCTTGAATTCCTGGGCTCAAGCAATCCACCCAACTCAGCTTCCCAAAGTCCTGGGATTATAGACATGAGCCATCGCACCGGGCAACTTTTTAGATTTAAGGATTTTCTTGAACCCAAGGGTTTGGCCTCCGGTTATTCCTAACATGGACAGACTCAGAGTTACTTTCAGGGATTCCAATCTATTGTTTTCTGACCTATTTGAGGTATCTTGTCATCCCAAACTGAAATTCCGGCCCTCAAATTAAAGTAACGTCCGGCCAGGCACAGTGGCTCGTGCCTGTAATTCCAGCTCTTTGGGAAGCCGAGGTGGGCAAATCACCTGAGGTCAGGAGTTTGAGACCAATCTGGCCAACATGGTGAAACTCCATCTCTACTAAAAATACAAAAATTAGCTGGGCGTGGTGCCACAGGCCTGTAATCCCAGCTGCTCGGGAGGCTGAGGCAGGAGAATCGCTTGAACCCGGGAGGCAGAGGTTGCAGTGAGCTGAGATGGCGCCACTGCACTCCAGCCTGGGCAACAAGAGCAAAACTTCATCTCAAAAACACAATAAAATAAAATAAATTTTAAAAATAAAGGTACCTCCAAATTCCTTTTTAATTAATTGTTTAAAATAGAGACAGCATCTCCCCATGTTGCCCAGGCCTGTCTCAAACTCCTTTGCTCAAGCAACCCTCCTGCCTCGCCCTCCCCAGAGTGCTGGGATAACAGGTGTGAGCCACCGTGCCTTTAAGAACATTGTTTCCTCACAAACCATAACATTTAAACTGCATATAAACTGCGCCCAGTGGTACATGCCTGTAGTCCCAGCCACTCAGGAGGCTGAGGCGGAAAGGAGCACTTCAGCCAAGGAGTCTGAGGCTTCAGTGCACACGATCATGCCTGTGAATAGCCACTGCCCTCCAGTCTGGGCAACAAAACGAGACCCGGTCTCAAAAAAAGACAAAAAAAAAAAGAAAAGCAGCGTGTAGTCATTTTTGTGTTGTTGCCTACATCAAAGGTGTGTAAATCCCTCAGATGCTCTCAAGTGAAAATGTTTTTAAGTCTAACAAGTACCTAGGAATCCACAAGATAACATTTCCAAGGTAGTTTCAGTCTCAGGATAAATATAGAATGTTCACTATGACGATGGATGTATCTATAAAAGGGACCTAGCATCCCTTAATTGCTGCTTAAAACTCTGTCTACTATAGGTTATGAGAGTTATACACCATTTCAAATGATAAAACTGGTCTTACCTTCTCCTTCTTTGATAGTATAAATACACCAACCACTGTGCAATAAAAGGCCATATGATGGCAAAAGTTAGCACACCAGGAGACATCTCGAAGGGCCACCAAGATGGTCTCTGAGAAAATACAATGAGCTTGTCACCAACTGCATGTATCAACTTACAAACATACCTAATTCACAATTTTGAAAGTAGAAAAGAAAATTAGTAACAAATCTCACTCCTGCTGAAAGGAGGAAGATATTCTGCATTTCAGAGTATAATTTAGGAAGCAGGCTTTCAGGAGTAGTTCAGACTTAAATAAACACAAAACAAGTATTTTTTAACTGCAAAGGTAGATTTCGCTTGGAATGATTTAAAGATTTTGTATATTCTAAATGTATTGTAACATATGAAACCCTGGGCCGGGCGCGGTGGCTCATGCCTGTAATCCCAGCACTCTGGGAGGCTGAGGCAGGTGGATCGTGAAGTCCGGAGATCGAGACCATCCTGGCTAACATGGTGAAACTCCATCTCTACTAAAAATACAAAAAATTAGCCAGGCATGGTGGCAGGCACCTGTAGTCCCAGCTACTCAGGAAGCTGAGGCAAGAGAATGGCATGAACCCAGGAGGTGGAGTTTGCAGTGAGCTGAGATTGCGCCACTGCACTCCAGCCTAGACGACAGAGTGAGACTCCATCTCAAAATAAAACAAAACAAAACATGAAACCCTGGCATTTAAATTTTTAAAAAACCGTCTTACCTGTGAGGTGGGCTGAGGAGTAGTCTGCAATGTTGATGTTGACGATTTTGCCTGTAAATGCAAACGAAAGTGACTTAGCCTTGAAAAAATGAAAGACACAGTAATTTTTCTATTTCCCATCTTTTTTTAAAAGGCAGAAATATTGAGGGTTTTTTTGGGTTGCTTTTGTTTTCTTTATGTATAGAACAGTTGGAACATAGAAATATTAGTTTATTCAGTGTTTTTCTGCTAACTATATTTAGATTATCCTGAAACTAATACTTACCAAAGGACAAGTTCCCTAAAATGGCAAGCCAAACAATACTTTGATGCTTTATATTTTTAGCTCAAATTGCATAAAATTATCAAAATAAAACCTCAAATAAATTTAAACTCTTACGTTTACAGTCTTATTACATTACCTACTTGACTTTTCTTTTTGAGACACGATCTCGGCTCACTGCAACCTCTGCCTCACAAGTAGCTGGGAGACATGCACCACCACACCCAGCTAATTTTTGTATTTTTAATAGTATAGATGGGGTTTCACTATGTTGGCCAGGCTGGTCTCGAACTCCCAACCTCAGGTGATCCACCCACCTCAGCCTCCAAAAGTGTTGGTATTACAGGCATGAGACACCATGCCTGGTCCAATTTATTTTTTCTACGAGTCATCCAAGTGAATTATTCAAATTTTAAGGAGAAAAAGTCCTTAAATCAAAATCTTTTCAACTTTATTTTATTATTGTATAAATAATAAAATAGTGCCTTATGACCAGGTGTGGTGACTCACACCTGTAATTTCAGCACTTTGGGAGGCCGAGGCGAGTGGATCACTTGAGGCCAGGAGTTTGAGACCAGCCTGGCCAGCATGGTAAAACCCCATCACTACTAAAAATACAAAAATTAGCTGGGCGTGGTGGTGCGTCCCTGTAATCCCAACACCTCATTGTAGAGATGAGGTCTTGCTCTGTTGCCCAGGCTGGTGAGATCATGGCTCACTGCAGCCTTGCACTCCTGGGTTCAAGCTATCATCCTGCCTCAGCTTTCTGAGTAGCTGGGCTGACCACCAAGCCTAGCTATTTTAATTTTACTTTTTTGGTAGACACAGGGTCTTGCCATGTTGCCCAGGCTGGTCTTGAACTCCTAGCCTCAAGTTATCCTCCCGCCTTGACCTCCCAAAGTGCTGAGATTACGAGTGTGAGCCATGGGCCTAGCCTAAAGTTTTCTATAACAGTGAAAAAGTAAATGTCTAAGAAAATCCATCAAAAGAATTTTAGCAGAATTTCAATACCACTAAAGATACTGAATATGTGTAAAATATTCTTTTTAAAAAAAAAAAATAGAGCCTGCCAGGCTCAGTGGCTCACGCCTGTAATCCCAAGCACTTTGGGAGGCCGAAGTGGGCTGATCACTTGAGCTCAGGAGTTTGAGAACAGCCTAGGCAACATGGCATAACTCTGTTTCTACAAAAAATACAAAAATTAGCCAGACGTAGTGGTGTGCACCTATGGTTCCAGCTACTTGGGAAGCTGAGGTGGGAGGATGACTTGAGCCCAGGAGGTGGAGGTTACAGTGAGCCAAGTGCAGTGGCATGATCTAGGCTCACTGCAACCTCTGCCAACAGGGTTCAGGTGAGTCTCATGCCTCAGCCTCCTGAGTAGCTGGGATTACAGGGACGCACCACCACGCCCAGCTAATTTTTGTATTTTTAGTAGTGATGGGGTTTTACCATGCTGGCCAGGCTGGTCTCAAACTCCTGGCCTCAAGTGATCCACTCGCCTCGGCCTCCCAAAGTGCTGAAATTACAGGTGTGAGTCACCACACCTGGTCATAAGGCACTATTTTAAACTCTTTTTCCTTATACACCTTCTTGAGGATCTGATGAAGACAACAAGTCCTCTCCCGTCGAAAATGCAAGATCAAAGACAAATGTGCATAGTATTTTAGGGCGTTCATAGACTCCTGGAAGTCTAGGAATTTGCAGTCTGACTAATAATAATATGTAACTGAGAGGCCGGGTGCGGTGGCTCATGCCTGTAATCCCAGCACTTTGGGAGGCTGAGGCGGGTGGATCACGAGGTCAAGAGATTGAGAGCACCCTGGCCAACATGGTGAAGACCCGTCTCTACTAAAAATACAAAAATTAGTTGGGCATGGTGGCGTGCGCCTGTAGTCCCAGCTACTCAGGAGGCTGAGGCAGAAGAATCGCTTGAACCCGGGAGGTGGAGGTTGCAGTGAGCCAAGATCCTGCCACTGCACTCCAGCCTGGTGACAGAATGAGACTCCATCTCAAAAAAACCCCAAAATAATAATAATAATAACAACAAGTAACTGAGAATCCTGGAGATACATATAATTTAAAAAAACATGTGATAGCTTGAGTAACTTACTGATTAGGTAAAGAGAAAGATATTCACGGTGGTTGTTTAGGAAAGCCTGCGGTATCGGTTTCTTTACATAAGCCTACATTTAATGTATTTATCTTGCAATGGAAGCACATCTTCTTTGATTAATCCTTACAGATACTTCTTAACATCTGTTACAGCATGATGCTTCAATGTTGTATAATGTTTGCAGCTAGGTCAGAGAGCCAACGCTAATTACTTCTCTATTCTTTCCAACAAATGTTACTCAAGGAAGGGCAGCTGAGTTCAGGGATTATCATAGGCCACAGTTGAAACTATAAATCAAGCTGTAGTGTCTCTTCCTATGAATCCTTTTCCCTTCTTTTATTTATTTACTTATTTATTTTTTTTTGAGACAGAGTCTCACTCTCTCACCCAGGCTGGAGTGCAGTAGCGTGATCTCAGCTCACGCAACCTCTGCTTCCCGGGTTCATGGCACGCTCCTGCCTCAGCCTCCTAAGTACCTGGGATCACAGGCATGCAACACCATACCTGGCTAACTTTTGTATTTTTAGTAGAGACAGAATTTCACCATGTTGGCCAGTCTGGTCTCGAACTCCTGAACTCAGGTGATCCTCCCAAAGTGTTGGGATTACAAGCATGAACCACCATGCCCAGCCATTTTTCTATTATTTTAAGCAGTAATTAGTTTCCTGGTCAGTCTTTTCTTAAACAATATTTTCAAAACTAAGTTCTTTCTATTTTCTAAAAAAATCAGTAAAATACATTAATTTATGTAAATATGATCAACAGAGATTCCACATTGCTTTCCAGAATCAATAAGCAGAAGAAGGTATGACACATTTGGAAGTTTACCTGCAAAGCAGTCAGCGTTTCCAGTTTCTGCAGTCTCTGAAGCACATTCTGCATGTCCTCCTGCAGTCTCATCAGCACGAGGGCGATCTGCTCATTGAGGCTGCCTCGGGACCCTCTGTCAGAGCCCCAGCGCTCCCCATCACCTCCACTTCCCACCTGCCGGCCCTTGGTTCCTTCGCTCAGGTGTTGCATCCTATGTCCTATTTTAAGAGGCAAAAATAAGCTTGTTTTAAATAATTCTTCTACAAGTAGAAACTGTGTTTTATTCATTTTCCTGTTATTTCTTTTAGATGTAAATCTCCAAAGTGTGGCCAGGAGCAGTGGCTCACACCTGTAATCCCAGCACTTTGGGAAGCTGAGGAGGGTGGATCACCTGAGGTCAGGAGTTCAAGACCAGCCTGGCCAACATGGTGAAAGCCTGTCTCTACCAAAAATATAAAAATTAGCCAGGTGTGGTGGCATGTGACTGTAATCCCAGCTACTTGGGAGGCTGAGGCAGGAGAATCGTTCAAACCCTGGAGGCCGTGGTTGTAGTGAGCCGAGATCACGCCACTGCACTCCAGCCTGGGCAACAGAGCGATACTCCATCTCAAAAAAATAAAAAAATAAACTTCCAAAGTGGAGTAGAAGCAATCAGGAAGTACATAAAACAAACTGCTGAGATCAAAGGAATTGATTTGTAAACTTCTATTCATATTGATATATTCTAAAATCTTTTGCTAAGGTTCTATAATATACACAATATACTAATACATTATGCAAATAATTCAGAAATAATACACACATTTGGAGTGCATGCTCAGACATTCTTTACTAATAAGGTAACCAGACTGAAAAAATTCAAAGACTTTTTTTTTTTTAAATAGAGACGAGGTCTCCCCATGTTACCCAAATTGGTCTCGAACGCTTGGGTTCAAGCAATCCACCTGCCCCGGCCTCCCAAACTGCTGGGATTACAGGCATGAGCCACCACTCCTGGCCCTGAAGACTACTTCTTTAGAGTATTAAAAGTTACAATAAAGAGCTACTTTTGCCTTTTGGGTCATTTTTTTTGTTTGTTTCATTACATTATAAATCTCCAAAGGTATTTGTTTTTGAGACAGAGTCTCACCCTGTTGCCCAGGCTGGAGTGCAATGGCTCACTGCAACCTCTGCCTCCCAGGTTCAGCCGATTCTCCTGCCTCAGCCTCCCAAGCAACTGGAATTATAGGCATATGCCACCTATGCCCGGTTAATTGTTGTATTTTTAGCAGAGACGGAGTTTCACTTTGTTGGCCAGGCTGGTCTTGAACTCCTGACCTCAAGTGATCTGCCTGCCTCGGCCTCCCAAAGTGCTGGGATTACAGAAGTGAGCCACCATGCCCAGACATCCAAAGGATTTTAAATGTGTTCTTCTTATTCTAAATTGTGTGTTCCTTATAGAAATCTCACTACTATTAAGATTTTGTTATATAGCCATCCATTCTTTTCTCTGGGCATATATTTGCAAAGTTGGCACTACCCCCTTATACATTGATTTTTATGTCCTAGTTTTAAAATCGTATTATGAACACTTATCTGCATCATTAAATTTTATTCCAAAAACACTTAAATGGTTACATAAATTCCCTAGTTAGGTTATGAAATAATTCACTCAACCATTCTCCACTTTTGGATAGGTAGGATGAGTTCAAATTTTTTCCGTTACAAATAAAATTGCAATGAATGGTTTTGTATGTAAATCCTCGTCCAAATTGCCCCTGATCTCTTTAGGACAGATTCCAAAAAAATCATTACTGGATTAAAGGATAACAACTGGGTCAAGGTTCCCAAGCTATTTTTCAGAAGGCTGAAACAGTGTTACAGTGCAGACTATAAAAGGTACTATTGCGTTACCCTACCCTTGCAGGAATGGAATATTACAAAATTTTGGGCAAGTTTTGTTTTTAATAATAAACAGGAAATTGTCTAGCTCATTGCCCTTTAGCATCCTGGACCTCCACTGCAGCAGAATTCCCGTAGCTGAACCTACATCAAGCATTGTCGGGGATTAAAACGGAAACCGAATTACAGCTATTTGCCAAGTTAAACCCCAAAATGGGCACTGAGGTGCCTGATGCTGTTTTCAAGACTTCTATCTTGAAAAATCTATCAAGGAGGTAAATTTTGAGATCAGTCTGGGCAACATAGTGAGATGTTCATCGCTACAAAAAAACTTTTTCAATTAGTCAGGCGGCTAGGCACAGCTCACACCAGTAATCCCAGCACTTTGGGAGGCCGAGGTGGATGGATCACCTGAGATCAGTTCGAGACCAGCCTGGCCAACATGGTGAAACCCCATCTCTACTAAAAATACAAAAATTAGCCAGGCGTGGTGGCGTGTGCCTATAATCCCAGTTACTCAGGAGGCTGAGGCAGAAGAATCACTTGAACCCGGGAGGCAGAGATTGCAGTAAGCCAAGATTGTGCCACTGCACTCCAGTCTTGGTGACAGAGCATTAGACTCCATCTCAAAAATAAATAAGAAAATCAGTAAAGATAGTGAGGGAAGAAAAAAGGTAATCCACACCTCTTCCTCTTCTGACATTAGAGAATTCATCACTTTCTCCACCTCGCTTCTCCCGGTGTGGCGCCCCGCTGTTATTCCTGCCATCTTCTCCTCCATGCTTGACTTCACCTTTTCCTTCAACTGCAACCACCTGCATATTCCCAATGTTGCCATTTCCAGGAGGTACTTGAACATCTTCATGAAATCCAGAATTTTCCACAGGTTGACTGGAATGACCACCCAAGTAATACTGAAATGGTCCATTGTTGGACGTAAAGCTGTCTAAAGACTACAAATTTAAAATGACACTTAGTTAAAAGCTAGAAACATGAATTATACACCACAAAGTTTTTACAGCAATAGGAGAAATACTGTTTTCCTAAAATGTTCTTTCATGTCATTACTGGAAATATTCTTTAACTAAAAAATGTCTTTAATTCATATGTTGCTTCCTACCTGAAGGGAAGAAATGGGACAAGAATGATTTGTCCACGAACAGAGTCAAGAAACCTGGGCAGTGAATTGTTTTTTTGTTTTTGAGACAGAGTCTCACTCTGTTACCAGGCTGGAGTTCAATGGCACGATCTCGGCTCACTGCAACCTCCACCTCCCGGGTTCAAGTGATTCTCCTGCCTCAGCCTCCCAAGTAGCTGGGATTACAGGCATGCACTGCCAAGCCCGGTTAATTTTTGTATTTTTAGTAAAGACAGTGTTTCACCATGTTGGCCAGAATGGTCTCAATCTCCTGATCTCATGATCCATCCACCTTGGCCTCCCAAAGTGCTGAGATTACAGGCGTGAGACACCACGCCTGGCCAGTGAATTGTTTTTGTGAGTCAGTTATTAAAGAAACATCTAAATTTCTATGCTTACCTTATGCTTAGAGATTACTGCCTAAAATTTTTTTTTTTTTTTTTTTGAGATGAAGTCTTGCACTGTCACCCAGGCTGGAGTGCAGGGGAGCGATCTCGGCTCACTGCAAGCCCCGCCTCCCGGGTTCACGCCATTCTCCTGCCTCAGCCTCCCGAGTAGATGGGACTACAGGCGCCCGCCAACATGCCCAACTACTTTTTTTCTTTTTTGTATTTTTAGTAGAGACAGGGTCTCACCATGTTAGCCAGGATGGTCTTGATCTCCTGACCTCGTGATCCACCCGCCTCATCCTCCCAAAGTGCTGGGATTACAGGCATGAGACACCACACCCAGTCCTAAATATTTTTTTTAAGTCAAAGCAAGTTTATTAAGAAAGTAAAGGAATAAAGAATGACTACTGTGTAGGCAGAGCCTAAATATGTTTTTAAAAGAACACACCTAAGACTTTGGTGGATGACAACCTATAATTAACTGGACTTGGTGAAGGTGGTGATGAGGTGGGTATCTTATCTAAGGTTTCCTTCAGGAAGGGACATCTGAGTTAGGATATAAAATGTATATAAGAGTCTTCAGTGAAGAGGGAGGATGTACAAGTAGGGGTGGGGGTGGGAAGGGACTTGACACATTAGAGAAACAGAGAGATGGCCAGGGTGGGTGGTGAGCAATGACCAAATAGGAGAGTGGTGTTAACAGAGGCCAGCAAGGGGCCAGGCACAGTGGCTCACACCTGTAATCTCAGCACTTTGGGAGGCCGAGGCAGGCAGATCACTTGAGGACAGGAGTACAGGACCAGCCTGGCCAACATGGCGAGACCCTGTCTTTACTAAAAATACAAATATTAGCCAGGCAGGGTAGCACATGCCTGTAGTCCCAGCTACTTGGAAGGCTGAGGCACAAGAATCACTTGAACCCAGGAGATAGAAGTTGCAGTGAGCCCAGATTGTGCCACTGCACTCCAGAAGCCAGGTCAGACAGCCCCTTGAGCTTTAGTCCATTAACTGATTGAGAGAGAAAACAGGAACAAATCTATAATTTAGCAGCCGGATATTTACTGAAATTAATCTCTATCTGGTCCCTTTCATCAATCTTCCCCAAACATCTCTTTTTTAAAAAGAAAAAATAAAAGGGAATCTGGGTTTTTCATCATTTTCATTTTTTACTAATTTAACTCATTCTCAGTTTGGGCTCCTTATCATTATTCTTCCAATCTATGCTGGTTTTTTTTTTTGGAGACAAGTTCTGGCTCTATAGCCCAGGCTGGAGTGCAGTGCCATCTTGGTTCACTGTATCCTCTGCCTCGCAGGCTCAAGCCACCCTCCCACCTCATCCTCCCTGAGTAGCTACCACGCCTGGCTAATTTTTTTATTTTTTGTAAAGACGTGGTTTTGCCATGTTCCCCACGCGGCTCTGAAACTCATAAGCTCAAGTGATCCACCTGCCTTGGCCTCCCACAGTGTTGGAATTATAGGCGTGAGCCACCATGACTGGCCTACGCTACTCATTTGTGTTTGACCTTAAGTAAAAGATAATTTATTCATGTGTTTTTAAAATTTGAGAAAACTAAGAGGTAGATTTAATTGCATTATGAAATAAGAAAAGGAGAAAAACACAAAAAGTTAAAGTCATTTCAGAGAGACAAAATATACATGATTTTCTATAAGACATACTGAACTGTATTAGAACAGGGTAGGGAGGTAGGAGACAGAATGGAGAGAGGATATAAAAAGGCCAAACAGAAATATAGCTGTCAAAACCACCCTCATCAGATTAGCAACTAGAATACATAAGGAGTGTAAACAACTCAATAGGAAAAAAACTAATAACCTGATTAAAAATGGGCAAAAGATCGGAAAAGACATTTCTCAAACGACAAGTGGCAAACAGGTATATGAAAAGGTGCTCAACATCACTGATCATCAGAGAAATGCAAATCAAAACTACAACGAGATAGTATCTCACCCCAGTTAAAATGGCTTTTATCCCAAAGACAAGCAATAACAAATGCTGGCGAGGATGTGGAGAAAAGGAAGCCCTTGTACATTGTTGGTGAGAATGTAAAATTAGTACAGCCCCTATGGAGAACAGTATGGAAGTTCCTCAAAAAACAAACAGGCCAGGTGTAGTGGCTCATGCCTGTAATCCCAGCACTTTGAGAGGCCAAGGTGGGCGGATCACCTGAGGTGATCACCTGAGGGAGTTTGAGATCAGCCTGGCCAACAGGGAGAAACCCTGTCTCTACTAAAAATACAAAATTAGCCAGGCATGGTGACGCATGCCTGTAATCCCAGCTACTCGGGAGGCTGAGGCAGGAGAATCACTTGAACCTGGGAGGCGGAGGTTGCAGTGAGCCAAGATCGCCCCATTGCCCTCCAGCCTGGGCAACAAGAGCGAAACTCCGTCTCAAAGGGAAAAAAATAAAAACAACAACGCTAAAAATAGAGTTACCATATGACCAGCAATTCCAATGCTGACTGCATACCCAAAAGAAAGGAAATCAATATACTGAAGAGATATCAGCACTCCCATGTTTACTGCAGCACTGTTGACAATAGCCAAGATTTGGAAGCAACCTAAGTGACCATCAACAGATGAATGGATAAAGAAAACATGGTACATATACACGATGGAGTACTATTCTACCATAAAAACATGAGACCCTGTCATTTGCAATATGGATGGAATTGGAAGATATTATGTTTAGTGAAATAAGCCAGGCACAGAAAGAAAAACTTCAAATGTTCTCACTTACTTGTGAGAGCTAAAAATTAAAACAATTAAACTCATGGAGATAGAGATACAATGAATGAGATCTAGTACCTGATAGCACAGCAGAGTGGCTATAGTCGGCAATACTTTGTTGTACATTTTAGAATAACTGAGGGAGTACAATTGGAATGTTTGGAACACAAAGAAATGATGAGTGCCTGAAATAATGGATACTCCATTTACCCTAATATGATTATTACACATCATATGCCTGTACCAAATTATCTCATGTACCCCATAAATATATATTTATTATATTTTTTATATTTTACAAAAATAAAGTGGAGATGGGGGTCTCGCCATCTTGCCCAGGCTGGTCTCAAACTCCTGGCTTCAAGCAAAGTTCCTGCCTCAGCCTCCTGGGATTACAGGTGTGAGCCACCGTGCCCAGTCTAACCCATAAATATATACACCTACTATGTGCCCATTAAAATTAAAAATTTAAAAATTAAAAATTAAAATACCACTGTCATCATTATCAGGAAAAGTTGAGAAAAAGAATTCATGGATGTTTTATAATTTTTTTTTTTGAAGTTTTCTCTTCCAATACTGGATCTTAACTGAAACTTAAAAATTATTTCCACTAAAAATTTCAATCCAGTGAATAACAGTCAATGTGAAGAACAGACTTATTTGTCTGAACATTATTCAGGCCAGGCTCGGTGGCTCACAGCTGTAATCCCAGCATTTTGGGAGGCCGAGGTGGGAGCACTGATTGAGGCCAAGAGTTTGAGACCAGCCTAGGCAACATATCAAGCACCCATTTTTAGGCTGGGCGCAGTGGCTCACGTCCGTAATCCCAGCACTTTGAGAGACAGAGCCGGGCAGATCACTTGAGGCCAGGAGTTTGAGACCAACCTGGCCAACATGGTGAAACTCTGTCTCTAAAAAAATATAAAAATTAGCCAGGTGTGGTGGCACATGCCTGTAATCCCAGCTACTTGGGAGGTTGAGGCAGGAGAATTGCTTGAACCTAGGAGGCAGAGGTTGCAGTGACCCAAGATTGCGTCACTGTACTCCAGCCTGGGCGACAGACGGAGACCCCATCTCTAAAAAACAAAAACAACAACAAAGAAGATCATTCAATTTTCCTGAACATTAATACATGTTTCAAACATAGGGACTGGCATAAAAAGTGTTTCCTCCGCATCCCCATCCCACGTCTGCTAGAATATTTATAAATATATGTACATTAATAGTTATATTGGAATAGTTATTATTAATTTTTCTTTCTTCGACTTTTACAGAATTTTACGTATTTTTCAATTCGGAAAAAATAGTTTAAAATACAAATGTTTAAACATTTTAGGGGTATTTTTTCAAAATGAAAAATAGCATGTATATTTGCTACTAACGGAAGTTATGCATTGAATTCTAATACACCACTTTGAAAATACACCAACCAGAAAACGTCATTTTTACCTCTTCTTGTCCAAATTGTTCCATAGAATCACAGTAAACTTCACTGTCTGAATCACTTGTCAAATGCTGAATTCCTGTAACATCTTCAACATGATCATCAATTATATCTAAATATGAACAAAAGTGCAGATAGGGTAATTATACTCTAATAGAAGAAAAACAAATTTATTCCTTTGTTTTTTTGAGATGGAGTCTTGCTCTGTCACCCAGGCTGGAGTGCAGTGGTGTGATCTTGGCTCACTGCAACTTCTACCTCTTGGGTTCAAGCGATTCTCTTGCCTCAGCCTCCCAAGTAGCTGGGATTACAGGTGCCCACCACTATGCCCAGCTAATTTTTGTTTTGTTTTGTTTTTGAGACAGAGTTTTGCTCTTGTGGCCTAGACTGGAGTGCAATGGCGCGATCTCGGCTCACCGCAATCTCTGCCTCCCGGGTTCAAGTGATTCTCCCGCCTCAGCCTCCCGAGTAGCTGGGATTACAGGTATGGGCCACCACAGCTGGCTAATTTTGTATTTTTAGTAGAGACAGGGTTTCTCCATGTTGGTGAGACTGGTCTCAAACTCCTGGGCTCACATGATCCACCTGCCTTGGCCTCCCAAAGTACTGTTTATTTTTGTTTTTTGAGACACAGTCTCGTTCTGTCACCCAGGCTGGAGTGCTGTGGCGTGATTTTGGCTCACTGCAACCTCTGCCTCCTGGGTTCAAGTGATTCTCATGTCTCAGCTTCCAAGTAGCTGGGATTACAGGCACATGCCACCATGCCCAGCTAATTTTTTGTATTTTCACTTGAGACGGGGTTTCTCTATGTTAGCCAGGCTGGTCTCGAACTTCTGACCTCAGGTGATCCACCTGCCTCAGCCTCCAAAAGTGCTGGGATTACAGGCGTGAACCATCGCACCCAGCCAACTTTTGTATTTTCAGTAGAGACGGAGTTTGACCATGTTGGTCAGGCTGGTCTTGAACTCCTGACCTCAGGTGATCCACCTGCCTCAACCTCCCAAAGTGCTGGGATTACAGGCGTGAGCCACCGTGCCTGACCTTTATTCCATTTTCAAAATTCATCAGCCTTATATTATTTTTATACTGAGAGACAAATTTGATTTATCAAGCCACACTGTTTAAAATTTACCAAAACTTTAAATTTAGTTGATAATTTTTATTTGAAAAGATTACAAAATATTTTTTCATTGAATTCCATAAAGACAACCTAGATGAAATCTTATAAAACCTAATAACCTTTTAAGAGAAAATTACCTACCAAGCAGGATGCCTAAATGTAAGATCCAACTAGGCAAGTTTGGTTCTTATATTAAGAAATGATATTTGTCGGCCGGGCGTAGTGGCTCACGCCTGTAATCCCAGCACTTTGGGAGGCAGAATAGGGCGGATTACAAGGTTAGGAGATTGAGACCATCCTGGCTAACACAGTGAAACCCCATCTCTACTAAAAAATACAAAAAAATTAGCTGGGCGTGGTGGCAGGCACCTGTAGTCCCAGCTACTCGGGAGGCTGAGGCAGGAGAATGGCGTGAACCCAGGAGGTGGAGCTTACAGTGAGCCAAGGTCGCACCACTGCACTCCAGCCTGGATGACAGAGTGAGACTTCGTTCAAAATAAAAAAGAAATGATGTTTCTCGGCTGGGCGCGTTGCCTCACACCTGTAATTTGGGAGGCTGAGGCAGGCAGATCACTTGAGGTCAGGAGTTTGAGAACACATTCGCCAACAGGGTGAAACCCCATCTCTACTAAAAATACAAAAATCAGCTGGGCATGGTGGCACGTGCCTGTAATCCCAGCTACTGGGGAGGCTGAGGCAGGAGAATTGTTTGAACCCAGGGGGCGGAGGTTGCAGAGACCTGAGATCGGGCCATTGTGCTCTAACCTGGGCAAAGAAGCAAGACTCTGTCTCAAAAAAAAAAAAAAAACAAAAAATGTCCAGGCACGGTGCTCACACCTGTAATCCCAGCACTTTGGGAGGCCAAGGTAGGAGGATCACAAGGTCAGGAGATGGAGACCATCCTGGCTAAAACGGTGCAACCCCATCTCTACTAAAAATACAAAAAATTAGCCTGGTGTGGTAGTGGGCGCCTGTAGTTCTAGCTACTCGGGAGGCTGAGGCAGGAGAATGGCATGAACCCGGGAGGCGGAGCTTGCAGTGGGCCAAGATTGCGCCACTGCACTCCAGCCTGGGCGACAGAGCGAGACACCATCTCACACACACAAAAAAAAAAAAAAAAAGAAAAAAGAAATGATGTTTCTTGGCCAAGCATGTTGCCTCACACCTGTAATTCCAGCACTTTGGGAGGCCAAGACGGGCGGATCACTTGAATTCAGGAGTTTGAGACCACCCTGGCAACATGGTGAAACCCCGTCTCTCCTAAAAATATAAAAAATTAGCCGGGCGTGGTGGCATGTGCCTGTAATCCCAGCTACTTGGGAGGCTGAGGCAGGAGAATCACTTAAACCTGGGAGGTGGAGGTTGCAGTGAGCCGAGATTGCGCCACTGCACTCCAGCCTCGGCAACAGAGCGAGACACCATCTCACACACACACACACAAAAAGAAATGATGTTTCTCATATGTACTATTATGTATCCCTAAAAATTAAAAAATAAGCCAGTGCATGGCTCAAACCTGTAATCCTAGGACTTTGGGAGGCCAAGGCGGGCAGATCACTTGAACTCAGGAGTTCCAGACCAGCCTGGGCAACCTGGCAAAACCCTGTCCCTGTAATCCCAGCTACTCAGGAGGCTGAGGCAGAACTGCCCAGGAGTTCAAGGCTGCAGTGCGCCTTGACTATGCCACTGCACTCCAGCCTGGGCAACAGAAAGAGATACATATATAACCCTGGCCCTAATTCACGCTCTTTCAAAACCATAAACCCTTATAATATTAATAAGCCCTAAGATATTACTGAACAAGAGATTTTTAAATTCAAAACTAATCCTAAAGATCCTGTAATTATTAAAAGACTATTCATAGGAAAGAGGCTGGACACAGAATTATTTGGGGACAATACCTTGGTGAATACAAACAGCAGATTTTCCAGTTTGCCCCAAGTTTTCATCAACAGGCTTTACTTCTTCAGTGCTTCTGCCATTCAGGGAAGAACTGGCATGAATGTCATTCTGTATATCCTGAACAAAGCCATCTTTATCATAGCCATTAGTGACAATGACTTCCAAATTCTTATGGTCTGCTGACTTCATCATTTTCTTATCTTTTATGAGAAAATGGAGAGAGTCATAAAAGTTCACAGTAGGTTACCTTCTGCATACTATGTTTTAATACCCAGATGTCATTTCCCTAACCTCACAATCCCTTTGAAGGGTTTCCTACTTGGATCAAAGAGAAGGCATGCTTCTTGAAATGCGGTTTACTATAGGCTGAGAGCTCACCCAAACTATGTTGGCTTCAAAACTGTTTCAGTTCCCTGTCAATCTTCTAGAGTTTCTTTTAAAAAGTAATCTCTCAAAGTCTTTTTACTCCCTTAGGCATAAGCAAATTGCTCTTCCACATAGCTGATAAAAAGGACCTTTAAAGAAGGCGCTCTGTCATACCTTACTGGAAAGGGAAGGCAAAACTAAGTTACGCAGTTTTTGGTTTTCTTTTTTTGAAACGGCGTCTCACTCTGTCACCCAGACTAGAGTGCAATGGCACGATCTTGGCTCACTACAACTTCCACCTCCTGGGTTCAAGTGATTCTCCTACCTCAGCTTCCCAAGTACCTGGGATTACCGGCGCCTGCTACCATGCCTGGCTAATTTTTGTATTTTTAATAGAGATGGGGTTTCACCATGTTGGTCAGGCTGGTCTCGAACCCCCAACCTCAGGTGATCTGCCTGCCTCGGCCTCCCAAAGTGCTGGGATTACGGGCATGAGCCACCGTGCCTGGCTGCAGTCTGTTGTAGTGTCTTTCTGCCTCCCCTTTTGAAAACAGTCTTCGCACGTGTCATTGGTATTCTAACAGAGCCCTCAATGCTCTAAGCCATAATTCCAAAGTTCCTTCTTCGTGAAAACTTATGCCTGTAGGCCGGGTGCGATGGCTTATGCCTACAGGCCCAGCACTTTGGGAGGCTGAGGCGGGCAGATCACTTGAGGTCAGGAGTTCGAGATCAGCCTGGTCAATATGGTGAAATCCTGTCTCTACTAAAAATACAAAAATTAGCGGGGTATGGTGGTGCATGCCTACAATCCCAGCTAATTGGGAGGCTGAGGCAGGAAGACGGCTTGAGGTTGCAGAGGGTGGCAGAGGTTGCAGTGAGTCGAGATCATACCACTGCACTCCAGCCTGAGCGACAGAGCGAGACTCCATCTCAAAAAAAACAAAAAACAAAAAAAACTTATGCCTGTAACCTATTCTCTGGATTCCATTCTATTTTTGGTAAGATACTGAGAGTCTAACTTGTCTCCTGCCCTTAGTAACTTACGCAGATTCATGCTGGAAACAACACCTTAAAATAGCACATGTCTAATGCAGCATTTCAGGCCATCCATTTGGAGGAGTGGCCTATTCTTGTCAAACTTCAGTTAACACCTACTCCATTTATACATAAGGTTGGTTGTTCCTTTCTCTGTAGCAGAGCCTTTTGGTCCACAGCAAACCTGGTTATAAGGTCAACAGCTTACATCCCACCACCTGCTCCAATCTTCTACAATACCAAATCAGCCCACATGTCTTCATACCCTCTTAGTTTATTTATTGTAAAATTACTAACTGATTATCCAAACATTACCATTATCACTTTGTTCTGCTCCTTTCACTTCTTCTTGGGCCTCTTCTTCCTCAGACTCAGCTCCACTGTCACTGCTTTCGGCTTTACCATTAACAGTTTTGGTGTTTGGAGTGGAAGTGAGAACATTACCAAGATCTAAAACATGAAATGACCACTTAGTCACAATGTGGTAACATACAATTATACCATAATTTCCAAGTAATACTAATACAATTTACAAATAACTAATAAAATAATTGTGAATTAAAATGTTATATATATATATAAAATAGTATTATTTTCTTTGACCATAAACATACATATATTACATAGACAAATTCCTTCAATTATCACCTTATGATCAAGCTATCTTAAATCCTTTCTGAATCAGGCAGAAGGTAAATTATTTTTAAGTTAATATCAGTAAAAATAAAGTTAAGAGATCAACGTATCTTCATACATGGCAAATGAAGAGATACTTCCTATATGCTAGCATGCTGAAAGCAAAAGTACATTTTTGGTTCTACCAACAATCTCATCAATATCACAGTTGGAATCCATTTTAAAAATTTTATTCCAGTATTACCTTTAGGGCTTCAGGTGTACAACTCAAATTATCATGTCTTTGTGATATTTAAGTTTTTTCTTAAAGTATCCATTGATGTGATCAATCATTTACAAAAGCAAATTGTCCAAGTGGCCAAAGCTATATCCTGAGAGTAACATCAGAGCTTCTCAACTTTAATGTGCATACGAACCTCCTGAGAGCTATTTAAGATGCAGATACTGAATTCGTAGGTCTAGGGTGATCTAAGATTCCGAATTTCTATAAAGAGCACATTTGTTGCTAATGCTGTTGGTTACTGGACACTGTTTTGAGAACATGAATTGAAAGACAATATTTTTGAAGTGACAATACTCCCCAAAATGATCTGCAAATTCACTGCAATCTCTATCAAAATCCAAGCTGGCATTTTTGCAAACATTGACATGCAGATTCTAAAATTCATATGAAAATGTGAAGGATCAAGATTAGACAAAGCAATCTTGAAAAAGAACAAAATTTGAGGACTCATCATTCTGATTTCAAAACTTACTGTATATGTATATTCTGAAAATGGCCATGTAAAACTGATACATCTGTTCTATTGGACCTAAATGGCTACTTTTAAGAAAATGCTTTGTTTAGGAAAAAAAGGCAAGATTGCAAACTGTCTTGCAATTTGGTAATATCTTACAAAATTACAAACATCAAACATTTCTAATTCCATTTCTAATATTTCTTACAGATATGCTTTCACATATATGAAATGACAGATGTACATGGTCATTCTCAGCAGTATTTTCTGAAGATGTGAAGGAGTAAATAACCTAAATATCCACCAGAATGGCTCAGGTTAAAAAAATTATGGTGAGGGTCCACAATCCCTTACTTACAACCCTTGGATCCAGATATGTTTTGAAATCTCAAGTTTTCTAATTTTGCAAAGGTTATATGGTACATATGCCATTTGGTATATTATGTAACACATCCAACAGAGTGTAAGGCAGCTCTCACTAAAAAGAGAAAATATGATTTTTGCAGCAAAACATATAAATAGTTACACTAAAGAGGACAGAGACTCAAAATACCCTCGTTTTACTTTAGGTCAGATTTTGCTCCCCAGATTTTTAGTTCATATCAGACAGGTTTTGCTGCCAAATGAGTTTACCAAAAAACTTCTGGTCTTCAAAGATTTAAAAAATTTTAAGTTATAGCTAGGAAGCTGTGAGCCTGCACCTTTATTACTATTATTTACTCTTCTTTGTTTTATAATTAGCTGTTTAAATATCTGCCTCTGGCCAGTGGCTGGACACCACTGCAGCAGATCCAGATTTATTTCCCTCTGCATCCTAACATGCCTGACATACAGAAAACATTTAATTTTTTTTCCTGGCAGGGCACAGTGGCTCATGCCTTTAATTCCAGCGCTTTGGGAAACTGAGTTGGGAGGATTACCTGAGGTCAGGAGTTCGAGATCAGCCTGGCCAACATGGCAAAACCCTGGCTCTACTGAAAATACAAAAATTAGCCAGGCATGGTGGTGCACACTTGCAATCCCAGCTACTTGGGAGGCTAAGTCAGGAGAATCGCTGGAACCCAAGAGGTAGAGGTTGCAGTGAGCCAAGATAGGACCACTGCATTCTAGTCAGTGTGACAGAGGAAGACTCCATCTCAAATAACATTTAGTTTTTTCTGAATTGAATAAGCATGCCTTGTAAGAAGGACTACTTGTTAATATTTGACTTCTGTAAGCAAATCAGATGTAGAATGATGTGACAGAGTTATGCCCAGTAAGCAGTCAGTACTACTTGCACATAGTTTATTACCATGACAGGTACAAGGACTGATTTCAGCACAGGAAGATTACTATTCTGAAATGCTGCCATTTCTATCAATTATTAAAAGATGTCTTATAAATAGGGATGACAAGGAAAAAAAGGGGATGCCAGGCAATTTTTATTTAAAGGGTATACAATTTTCTCGTAAATTGACTCTTGTGGTCTCATTTCACCCTGCTTTCTAAAAAAATTTCAAGATCAAATGTTTAGTTAATACTAACAAATCTTGCATTTTATTCAACTCCTACAAATATGCAAAACATAATCCTTTAAATCCTTTGTGTACATGAAGACAAAATTCTACAAGAAAAAAAAAAAAAAGAAAACTGCAATCCGTGCAGAGATGCTTGAACTGAAAGAAGAAGAAGAAAAAAAAAACAAGCTAAATGAACTAACTGTCTTGCATTAGCTTACTATACTACAGTTAAACCATACTCTAAACATATCCATTTTTAGAGACAGCATCTCACTCCGTTGCTCAGGCCGGAGTGCAGCAGAGTGATCTGGGCTCACTGCAACCTCCACCTCCTGGGTTCAAGTGACTCTTGTGCTTCAGCCTGCCAAGTAGCTGGGATCACAGGTGTGTGCCACCATGCCTGGCTAATTTTTGTGTTTTTTGTAGAGACGGGGTTTCACCATGTTGTTAAGTCTGGTCTTGAACTCCTGACCTCAGGTGATCTGCCCGCTTTGGCCTCCCAAAGTGCTGGGATTACAGACATGAGCCACCACACCTGGCCAACATATCCATTTTAAAATTAGCTAGTAAATCATTGGATTCAATGTACTATTAATTTAATTCTCAAAGCAAAATAGAAAACATGATCTATCAAAATAAAACCATGAATTCTGCTATAATTTTGAACATACTAAGTAAATTACCTGGTGTATTTTAATAGCTTACAACTTTAGGGTTAAAATTTTAAGGGTTTATAATGTTTTGGAACTTCATACAATGTGTTTGCTTGGAATGAAAACTCCTGGATGACAAGACTGTAAGTTCTATAAGTTTGTGCAGAATTCTTTTGACATGTAAATTTCAAACAAAACTTTTACATGATTTCATGATTCCTACCTTCTAAACATTTAGAGATTTTCTCCAGTCGGACTGGCATGTGAAAGTAAGAAAAAAAAATCAGACATACAAATATTAATATGTGCATAATATATCAGTTGATGAATTTTAAAATAGGTAAAATAGTCCAACCTGAGGTTACATCAGAACTCTTGCCACTCTTTTTGTCCTCGACAATTTCATAAAATGGACCTATGACACGCAGCAATTCTTCAACTTTCTCAGTCATTGGCATAGTTTCAATAATCTGTAATCAAAAGAAACAAATACTGTGAAATCACAAACTCTTAATTTGATCTCCACTAGTATCAGATAATCTCCTATTTCCAATTTGTCAATAATTTTAAGATTTGACGTTCATAATACACTCTCTGAAGGATCTACGTTAATTACATACCTAATGTATACACACTGTGGTCAGGTGAAGTGGTGGCTTATGCCTGTAATCCCAGCACTTTGGGAGGCCAAGGTAGGAGGATGGCTTGAGCCCAGGAGTTTGAGACCAGCCTTGGCAACATAGTGAGACCCTGTCTCTACAAAAAAAAAATTTTTTTAATTAACCAGGCATGGTGGTGTGTGCCTGTGGTCCCAGCTACTCCAGAGGCTGAGATGGGAGGATTACATGAGCCTGTGAGATCGAGGCTACAGTGAGCCGTTACGGCACCACTGCACTCCAGGCTTGGTGACACAGTGAGATACCATCTCCAAAAATTAAAAAATAAAAGGAATCCTTTTTAAAAATGTATATACACTCCTAGAAAAGCTTCAAGTATATTAAAGATCTAAAAGCGTTCTCATTTTGAAGACTATTTTACATGAGCTTCATGTAAAATTTTATATAATAACCTATAAATTGTGTATTAAAAACTAGGGGGCAGGGTACAATGGCTCACACCTGTAATCCTAGCACTTCGGGAGGCCAAAGCAGAAGGAGGATGGCTTGAGCCCAGGAGTTCGAGACTTGCCTGGGCAACATAGTAAGAGCCCATCTCTACAAAAAAAAATTTGTTTAATTATCCAGATATGGTGGTACACGCCTATAGTCCCAGCTACTCAGCAGGCTGAGATGGAAGGATCTCTTGAGCCCAGGAAATTGAGGCTGCAGTGAGCCATGATCACATCACACTGTACTCCAGCCTAGGCAACAGAGCGAGATGTTGTCTCCAAAAAAATAAAGGAAACAAACAAACAAACTAGGGGCTTTCACTAAATGAAATAGAAAACTGAAGTTAGAATAAAATTATGATGTCTGTTCTTTAACAATAAGGTAGCATAGTATTTCTAACAGGGCACAAAAGTAAAGTAGGAAATGGCAATCACTTTCAGACACCTTCATAAATATGGGCCAATTTAGAATCATCAAATTTAAAGAGCAAGGTAAATTAACTGAAAAGGTATTTAAACAGCCATCAATTAGTGACTGATCAAAGAAACTAAAGTACTTCTAGATTTGAAATATTTTGCAGATATTAAAAAGAATACAGTCAGCTCTGTGTGTGCTAATCACAGTATGTTTAATATGATACCAGGGGCTGGGCTCATGCCAGTAATCTCAGCACTTTGGGAGGCCGAGGCAGGAGGATCACCTGAGGTCAGGAGTTCGAGACCAGCCTCGCCAATATGGTGAAGCTCCATCTCTACTAAAAATACAAATATTAGCCATGTTTGGTGGCATGCACCTGTGATCCCAGCTACTTGGGAGGATGAGGCAGGAGAATTGCTTGAACCCAGGAAGTGGAGGTTACAGTGAGCCAAGATCGCACCACTGCATTCCAGTCTGGGCAACAGAGTGAGACTCTGTCTCCCAAAAAAAAAAAAAAAGATACCAGAACTGGCTCCTTCACTCCCTCCCTCCCTTTCTTCCTTTCTTTCTTTCTTTTTTTTTTTTTTTTAGAGACAGAGTCTTACTCCATCATCACCCAGGCTGTAGTGCAGCAGTACAATCTCAGCTCACTGCAACTTCCACCTTCCGGGTTCAAGCAATTCTCACCTTCGAGCAATTTCAGACACCTTCATAAGTGATTCACCTACCTCGGCCTCCCAAAGTGCTGGGGTTATAGGTGTTAGCCACTGCGCCCAGCCAAAACCCTAAAATTATTGTTCAAACAACATGCTTTTATTTCTAAACCAGATATAAGATGGATCATCAGTGGTCTATGGTAGTCAGCAACTCTGATAGGATTTTGATCTGAGACATGCTCATCAACACCATTCCCCACCGCGTTGTATGTGTAGGAGGAGGTTGTTGAGAGAGATTACACAGAATGAACTATATTAACAATAACTGGTTCTAGTGATTATAATTTAATTTTACAGCTTGGAGTAAATTATCTGATTGTTGCTCCTCTGAATGTACTGTGAAAGGAATGCTTTAATCACAAAATTTCTTTTTGCTAAAGGAAACATTTGTTATGAGGCTAGGGCTATGTGAAGGAATGTTTTATTATTTATTATAAATATCTGAGCTGTAACATATTTGAATTATAATAATTCTGAGAATCAGATTCAAACCAGGAGAAAGTTGTGACCAAGTCACAACTAACAAACGGCAGAGAAACAATTCAAACATAAATCAGCACCCTTTACGCTATCCCACGCCACTGTAATATCAAGACTTCAGTTAGCAGAATCTAGTAAGCCAATCACATACCACATCCTGACAAGCAAGCAACATCTCTATTTCTCAAGGCTTATTACAAGATCTCTTTCTTAACTTCATCCTTATTTTTAAGGCTACTAAATTCAGCATCTGGGTTTCTCATGCCCCACAGGGTAAAAGAGTAAACTGTGGACTTGAAATGTCAGCATGAAATAAAAGGAGTATCCATTGGCACTAAGGAAGTATCAACTGAGTAATCATTCTGTCAACAAACCAGAATGTCAGTAGTTAATATAGTGAAGACACAGTAACCAAAGCAAGACACATCCAAAATTGATGAGGTTACTCTCTTTGGTTTTTCTTTTTCTTTTAGATTCAGAGGGTATATGTGCAGGTTTGTTATAAGGGTACACTGTGTGATGCTGAAGTTTGGGCTTCTATTGATCCAGTCACCCAGTACCCAATAGGAAGTTTCTCAGCCCTTGCCTCTACCCTTTTGAAGAGGTTATTCTCTGAGGAAGAAACTTTAAACATACACAAACCAAGAATGATCTCAGCCATTTGCAAAATTATCTCCCTTACACCAATGTTGAAATACAAGAAATGGTGTACATGTACGCACATGAGATATAGACCACACACACACACACACACAAGCAGACACAGACAAATCTCAGTCTAGCTAACTACTACCTACCCTCAGAGAAGATGTTATCTAAACCGACCTTGTCCAATCTGCAGTCCTCAGGCCGCATGTGGCCCAAGATGGCTTTAAATACCCAACACAAATTCGTAAACTTTTTTTTTTTCTTTTTTTCTTTTATAGAGATAGCGTCTCACTCTGTCGCACAGGCTGGAGTACAGTGGCACAATCTTGGCTCACTGCAGCGTCTGCCTCTGGGGTTCAAGCAATTCTTCTACCTCAGCTGCCCAAGTAGCTGAGACTACAGGCACACATCACCATGATCGGCTAACTTTTTGTATTTTTAGTAGAGACAGGGTTTCACCATGTTACCCAGGCTGGTCTGAACTCCTGACCTCAAGAGATCCACCCACCTCGGCCTCCCAAAGTGCTGGGATTAGTAGCTGGGATTACAAGCGTGAGCCACTGCGCCTGGCCCAAATTCATAAACTTTCTTAAAACATTATGTTTTTTTTGTGATTTTTTTTTTTTTTTTTTTTTTTTTTTTAGTTCACCAGCTATTGTTAGTATCCATGTATTTTATGTGTGGCCTAAAACAATTATTCTTCCAGTGTGGCTCACGGAAGCCAAAAGATTGGACATCCCTGGTCTAAAGTTATAAGTTAACTATGCTAACTTAATATATTATAACCCAAGCAACTGAAGAATGTTTTGACAGAAATACCTGGTAAGCTGCATGGACACCAGAAAAGCAGCATCCAAAGCACAATAATTCTTCTAGGTCTATCCAGCACTTTTTCTCAGTGACAGACATCATTTCTAGATGATGAAAATATACTGGAAAGGTGTAGATATACTCTAAGGAAGCGAAGACTAAATTTCTCAGGCCTTTTTGGTCCAAAATGACCACATCTCTTAAAGCCATCCAAATCCCAACGCTCTACTCTCTGTACAACAGAATCACTAATTCAGTCTCCCAAGCGCTTCTAACCTTTTGAAGAGTGACCTAGATATCAGTCCTGAGTATGCTGATCACTAGAAGCCTATCACTCACTCTAAGAAACTAGCATTCGTTTTCCCCCTCAATGTGCAAAATATGTTTACTATGAGTGAAACCTTAAAACAAAAGCCAACCCTCAGTACTCAAAGAAAGTTGGTGTTCTTGGTATTCTAGAGTTGTTGAGCTATGGACTAGACCCTCGGCCATAGTAACTTTCAGGTTCCTTGTTTCCTTCCTTCCCTTCCCTCCCTTCCCTCCTTTTCTTCCCTTCCCTCCCTTCCCTCCCTTCCTCCCTTCCTCTCTTCCTCCCTTGGACTAGACCCTCAGCCATGACAACTTTCAGGTTCCTTGTTTCCTTCCTTTCCTCCCCTTTTCCTTTTTCCCTTCCCTTCCCTTTCTTTCCTTTCCTTTCTTTCTTTCCTTTCTCTTTTTCTCTCTCTTTCTCTCTTTCTTTTCTGAGACAAGAGTGTCACTCTGTTGCTTAGGCGGGAGTGCAATGGTGTGATCTTGGCTCACTGCAACCTCCACCTCCTTGATTGAAGTGATTCTTCCATCTCAGCCTCTCTAGTAGCTGAGATTACAAGCGCCTGCCATCACACTCAGCTAAATTTTTGTATTTTAGTAGAGATGGAGTTTCACCATGTTGGCCAGGCTGGTCTCAAACTCCTGACCTCAGGTGATCTGCCTGTCTCAGCCTCCCAAAGTGCTGGGATAACAGGCATGAGCCACCGCGCCCGGCCGAGATTCCATCTTTAATGGGACCATCCTCTAATCCTCCCTGTATTACAGCGATTATCCCAATCTCTTAGAAATCCTGAAATAATTAGTCTGGGGTCATCCTGGGGCATTTGTATTTTTTCACAAGATCCCCTAGTGATTCTAATGTGGAGCCAGGGTAGAGTACACCCATCTCTTTTTAAATTCAACAGACATAAGGCACATTATTCAAATGTTAGCTGAATACTCTGGAAATCCCCAGAAGATAGCCTAAATTTGTGCCAAAAAAAATAGAATTTTGGCCAGGCATAGTGGCTCACACCTATAATCCCAGCACTTTGGGAGGCCAAAGTGGGAAGATCACGGAGTCAGGAGTTTGAGATCAGTCTGGCCAATACAGTGAAATCCCATCTCTACTAAAAATACAAAAGATTAGCCAGGTGTGGTGGTTTGTGCCTGTAATCCCAGCTACTCGGGAGGCTGAGGCAGGAGAATGGCGTGAACCGAGGAGGCAGAGGTTGCAGTGAGCCAAGATGGTGCCATTACACTCTAGCCCAGGTGACAATGTGAGACGCTGCCTCAAAAAAAGAGAATTTTATACGTCTATAAATAAACCTTATTGAATTAAACATGCATTTCTCTCACCCCTCAAGCCACATTACTTTCCCTCAAAGCTAAAATCCTATTACATTATATTAAAATAATGTTTTATTCTATCAAGTTTTTCAGTGACATTTTATGGGACACTTTATCAATTATGAAAAGCAATTTTCTACAAAACATAATTCTATTATGCTAAAATAGTTTGTTTGTTTTTTTTTAAAGAGATTCTTGCTCTGTCACCCAGGCTGCAGTGCAGTGGTGCAATCTCGGCTCACTGCAACCTCTGCCTCCCTGGTTCAAGTGATTCTCCTGCCTCAGTCTCCCGAGTAGCTGGGACTACAGGTGCATGCCACCACACCAGGCTAATTTTTTTTTGTATCTTTAGTAGAGACGGGGTTTTGCCATATTGGCCGGGCTGGTCTCAAACTCCTGACCTCAGGTGATCTGCCCGCCTCGGCTTCCCAAAGTTCTCGGATTGCAGGCATGAGCCACCATGCCCGGGGTTAAAAGAATTTTTTATTCAATCAACTTTCTCAGTGATATTTTATGGGGCAACTTAAAAATTATGAAAAGTCACTTTTTACAAAACATCATTCATTATAAAATATAAGTTAAATTAATAAGATTGCTGAAACCTCTGACTGCAAAGACATAAAATGAGATTTATACTCTAAAGAATAATGACAGTGACAGGCCAGGCGCACGGTGGCTCACGCCTGTAATCCCAGCACTTTGGGAGGCCGAGGCAAGTTTATCACCTGAGGTCAGGAGTTTCAGACCAGCCTGGCCAACACAGTGAAACCCCATCTCTACTAAAAATACTAAAAATTAGCTGGGCGTGATGGCATGCCCCTATAATCCCAGTTACTTGAGAGGTTGAGGCATGCACCACTGCACTCCAACCTGAGCAACAGAACCAGACCCTGTCTCAAAAAAAAAAAAAAAAATGACAAAGACTACATTTAAGGAGATAATTTAACAAGTGCTTCAATTAGTAAATTATTGAAATTAGAATAAGTCCCAAATTCAATAATCAAATCTTTGGGATAATGTACTATCCCACAAGATTATTTAGAAACATGCTATTTTATTGACTGATAGTCATAAAGCTAAACTCTAAAAACAATTCAAAAGAGTAATCAAATTTTCAATTTATGGGTATCTTGATATTTTTAGGTTTACCTCTAAAACTGCACTGTAAACTTTGCCATATTCACAATATGCAATGAAATTTTTAAAGTCTGAATGAAAAGAAATAAATTATTTTAATTAAAGAAGGAGTTACAGGTATTTTAGCAGCAATATAGTTTTAATCTTTCTTAGGGAAAAAGCCAGAATACACATTGCTTTATTGTCCTCCAACTTTAAAATGTGGCTATACCATTAACACAATTGAATAGGAAAAATGGGTAAATTTTACTTAATGTGTCAATTCAACTTTACATTATAGAAGCATGTCCTAAAAATAATAAAGAAATTTAAGGTTAAAAAACAAAAAAGAGAGAGAAATAGTTATGAAACCAAAAGGCTTTCGATTATCTTTCTTTCTCTGCTTTTGAAAGGCCTATCTGTTATTGTGTTATTGACATAGTTAATAGCCAAAAGAACTAAACTCTGCCCTTTGTTACAAAGTCTACCAAATAAAAACTGCAAGAAGGTAACAAAGGGCGCGACTATAAGCAGTGTAGAAGAAGTTAAAAAACAACAACAACAACAAAAAACTAGTCTAAATCTAGTAATAACAAATAAAAATTACTACCGAGATTAATACCATCAAATCATATGGCAAAAAACTATTCTTTTTTACAGATTTTCTTTATGTTCAAAGATAATTTATTGAAAATTATCAAACTTAGATTTCACAACCTCTGATCCATGTCTAACATAAAAATGGTTCTTTATAAAAAGTCTCAGCCGGGCATGGCGGCTAACACCCATAATCCCAGCACTTTGGGAGGCCAAGGTGCATGGATCACCTGAGGTCTGGAGTTTGAGACCAGCCTGGCCAACGTGGTGAAATCCCACCTGTACTAATAATACAAAAATTAGCCTGGTGTGGTGGCGTGCACCTGTAATCCCAGCTACTTGGGAGGCTGAGGCAAGAGAATCTCTTGAACCCAGGAGGCGGAGGTTGCAGTCAACCAAGATCATGCCACTGCACTCTAGCCCAGGCAACAGAGTGAGACTCCATCTCAAAACAAAACAAAACAAAACAAAAAAAGTCTCTATGATCATCTTTAAAATTCATGATTTCTTCATATACTTACTCCTCAAAAGAATGCCTTTGACACACTTAAAAGAGCTAGTTAAAATGAACGTCCCTGCTTACTAGTTAGCAGAGAACCTGAAAACTTATCTTACCATGCTTCTGAAGGATCTATGTACTCACAGGAAAAAAAACTTATCTTATTATACTTCTGATGGATCTACGTACTCACAGAAAAATGTGACTTCTTACAGAATTCCAGTGATGAGAATACCTACCTCAATTTATGAGTGAAAACTGGCATGAGAACATTATTGAACTAAGTAAAAAGTTCCAAAGCAGAAATACTTTCAAGAGAGTCCAGCTACTTCCTAGACTCCTGAGTAAGAGACTTCAATATTTTCAAAGATTACTATTTCTACACTTCTTAAGAAGTTGACTACAGAGAAAGATAAGGAAGATTAAAAATCAAAAAACAGGCTAGGCGCAGTGGCTCATGCCTGTAATCCCAGCACTTTGGGATGCTGAGGCACGTGATCACTTGAGGTCAGAAGTTTGAGACCAGCCTGACCAACATGGAAAAACCACATTTCTACTAAAAGTACAAAAATTAGCTGGGCGTAGTGGTGTGCACCTGTAGTCCCAGCTACTTGGGAGGCTGTGGCAGGAGAATCACTTGAATCTGAAAGGTGGAGGTTGCAGCGAGCCAAGGTCGCGCCACTGCACTGCAGCCGGGGCTACAGAGCAAGACTCCGTCTCAAAATAAAAACAAAATAAAACATCACATCATCACAGTGTTATATATCTTAAGGAAAAAACACTTATCTTAAGATGAACTTTAATGAAGCAGAAGAGTCCTAATAAACCCAATAATCTAGATTCTATTGTATAACATACTACAGTCTCCTTAAAGCAAAGCAACTAATTTGTCTGATAACCAAATTAAATTAGAGCTGCTCTGAATTTTCATTTTAACTGTGAATTATTTTCCCTACCTTTTTCATTTCTTCAACATATGCAATCATGGCTTCCTCTTTGGTCATATCACCCAGTGAACTCCAAGCATCCCTAGAAATGAAAATATCCACATAATGACAAAGAGACATCTGATTTTTCACTGCTCAGAATATAATTTATAGTTGATGCTATAGGGTTACTAATTAAAACAGGCTCTACTTAAAGCCATAACAGGATTGTCTTAAATGTGCCACCATGAAGAAAATTATCACAGCAAATAAACTAGCAAATTAAATAGTATTTAAAACAAATAAGTATATAACCCATCTATGGAGTAATATACCAGAGACTACAGACTATTCATAAATATTTGATAAGAACTCTTCAGTTTTTATATTATTACAAAGAACAGTAACAGAAATAAACATTTTAGAAGACTACATTATTGCTTCTCAGGCTTTCGCTAAGATCAAGTGTACAAGACTACATTAATTGTCGCAGGCATATTTTCTTTTTCTTTTTAACATAAATTTCTCAATAGGCTTTCCGGCAAAGACCAGAAAGCCTGCTAGAAAAATTCTAAAAGAGCTGTAACACTCAGGCATGGTTTTTTTTTTTTTTTTTTTTGAGATGGAGTCTCGCTGTGTTGTCCAGGCTGGAGTGCAGCGGTGTGATCTTGGCTCACTACAACCTCCACTTCCTGGATTCAAGAGATTCTCCTGCCTCAGCCTCCTGAGTAGCTGGGATTACAGGCATGCGCCCCCACACCCAGATAATTTTTGTATTTTAGTAGAGATGGAGTTTCACCATGTTGGTCAGGCTGGTCTTGAACTCCTAACCTCAAGTGATCCACCGCCTTGACCTCCCAAAGTGCTGGGATTAGAGGGATGAGCCACTGCGCCCAGCCAGCCATGTTTTAAATGAACAGACATTTTGGTTAAAAGGTTCTATTAATTTAAATAAGAGCCTAACTTATACATTTGAACTGAAAAAGGAAATGGTTTCTCACTTCTAGGATATTGAAAATGTGAGAGACAGGAAATTTTTAAACCCCTAAATAATAATAGTTCTTTCAAATTTTTGCCCAACGTGTAAACCCTCCTTTTTATATGTTTTTCCCTGAAGGTGTTTAACTCCACCAAAGGTCAATTCTAGGGGGAAACATGAAGCAAATAATTTAATCTTCTTAAAATGGGTAAATCAAATAATATTAAATAATATTTAATACTACTAAAATTAAGTTATATGAAATAATAACATATTACTATTTCATTTAACCTGTTATTTTATGACAATTCATAAAGATCTTAAAGGAAAGTAGAATACTAAGAAATCTTAAAACGAGCTTAGGCACTTCCAATTCAGGGTGAAGAAACTGAACATCACAATGTGTGGACAAAAAACAAACAAAAATGGGCTGGGTGCAGTGGCTCACGCCTGTAATCCCAGCACTTTGAGAGGCCAAAGTGGGCAGATCACTTGAGGTAAGGAGTTTGAGACCAGCCTGGACAACATGGTAAAACTCTATCTTTACTAAAGACACAAAAATTAGCCAGGCGTGGTGGCACGTGCCTGGAATCCCAGCTACTCGTGAGGCTGAGGCAGGAGAACTGCTTGAACCCGGGAGGCAGAGATTGCAGTGAGTCAAGATCGCGCCATTGTACTCCAGCCTGGGAGACAGAACGAGACTCCGTCTCAAGAGAAAAAAAAAAAAACAAAACTGGTGTGGCATGGTGGTTCACACCTGTAATCCCAGCCAAGGCAGGTGGATCACTTGAGACCAGAAATTTGAGACCAGCCTGGGCAACACAGGCAAACCCCGTCTAGGAAAAAATTTTAAAAATTAGCCGGGTGTGATGGCACAAGCATGTGGTACCGGCTACTAGGGAGGCTGAGGTGGGAGAATTGTTTCAGCCCAGGAGGCAGAGGTTGCAGTGAGCCGTGATCGTGCCACTGCACTCCAGCCTGAGTGATGGGAGTGAGACCCTGTGTCCAAAAAAAAGTGTGGGTTTTAAAACATGCTTCACCACAGGGCGCAGTGGCTCACACCTATAATCCCAGCACTTTGGGAGGCCGAGGCAGGCGGATCACCTGAGGTCAGGAGTTCAAGAGTAGCCTGACCAACATGGAGAAATCCTATCGCTACTAAAAATACAAAATTAGCCAGGCGTAGAGGCACATGCCTGTAATCCCAGCTACTCAGGAGGCTGAGGCAGGAGAATCGCTTGAACCTGGGAGGCAGAGGTTGTGGTGAGTTGAGATCACGCCATTGCACTCCAGCCTGGGCAATAAGAGCGAAACTCCATCTCAAAAATAAAGAAATAAATAAAACATGTTTCACCAATTAGCATGTTCTGTTCATGATGTGCAGTCTAAAATTGACTTTTCTCAGACATTTGTGAAGGTTTCAATTGTATTAAGAATATCAACTGTTACTCAACTGGGAAAACAGCACGGACAGGTACAGGTATCTGTGTCTATAATTCTTTTAATTTATAGTTTATAATTCATTTAAGTATACTTTTTAGTTTAGAATTCTTTTAAGTATACAAAAAATCAAATTTCTATTCAATTACAGTAGGTCAGAAGTGACGGCTTAGAGAAAAAGTTAGCGTGGCAGTACCTGAGTCATATTCCTAGTTACTTATTATCTTCAAGGCTCAACACAAACAAGGAAAAGCCATTATTTTTCTTGGAGGCAAAAGAGGCAGTTAAAGTTTGTTTCTTTAACTTAGGTAGGGAGTTGCTCTTGCCTTTAAAAAAAAAAAAGAGAAAAACTCCATAAAAGTAAAGATTAATTGAAAATGCTTCTTTATCTTTGATGTACCTATTCCTTTTGGTTTTACTATTTTTCTCTCCTCCCCAAGATTTTCCTATTTGTGCAAAATTGTACTAAGAGCACCTGGAAAGGCTGGGCATGGTGGCTCACGCCTGTAATCCCAGCACTTTGGGAGGCCGAGGTGGGTGAATCACCTGAAGCCAGGAGTTTGAGACCAGCCTGGCCAACATAGTGAAACCCCGTTTCTACTAACAATACAAAAATTAGTTGGCCGCGGTGGCGCATGCCTGTAATCCCAGCTACGCAGGTTGCTGAGGCAGGAGAATCACTTGAACTCAGGAGGCAGAGGCTGCAGTGAGCCGAGATCCTGCCACTGCACTCCAGCCTGGGTGACAGAATGAGATTCTGTCTCAAAAAAAAAAAAAAAAAAAAAAAAAAAAAACCTGGAGGATAAAAATTGTACCCAATACCTAGATACCTAGGACACTTCCTGCACAGAATAACGTATAACCACTTAAGTAACAGCCATATGATAATTATGTCATTAAAATTTAAATTCTTGCATAGCTCTACACAAAAAATTACCATTTATATCTTCCAATAGGATCCCAAAATCCAGGCCTTGAAAGTTTACAGGGTCCTTCAGTTGCCTGCTTATAGAAGCTATAAAATTTAAGCATCATTTCATTTGTTGGCTGGAATGAACCTGTTGGAAACACACATTAAATACAGATCACCTGGGGAATACAACTGATAGTTAATCTAAGGTTATAATTAGCTTAGCTATACTAATAGTGATTTTATATTGCATTAATACTTTAGCTAATGATTTATTTCTATCTTATAGAAACAAAAGTTATGGTTCTGTCAGTTGTTTGCTTCTTTGATTTCAAAACACTCTGAGATTTTAAACTTTAATAGCAACGCCTAAGATGGTTCAATAAATAAAACAATACATGAATAGACATGCAGTAGATTTAACCAAAATAACCAGCAAATGTCTCTTTAAAAACATACTAAAATATAGAATAACTATTATTAATCAATCGTAATAAGGTATTTTTATTCAAAGATTATGACAAATCAAAACTGACTAGCGTAAGTGAAAAAGTTACATGTACACTCTGCCAAATTTCAAATTCTCAGTAGATAACGAATTTGGGGCTAAAGCCAAAGAGTATACACTATGGTTGAAAAAGAATTAATCGGCCGGGCGCGGTGGCTCAAGCCTGTAATCCCAGCACTTTGGGAGGCCGAGACGGGCGGATCACGAGGTCAGGAGATCGAGACCCTCCTGGCTAACACGGTGAAACCCCGTCTCTACTAAAAATACAAAAAACTAGCCGGGCGAGGTGGCGGGCGCCTGTAGTCCCAGCTACTCGGGAGGCTGAGGCAGGAGAATGGCGTAAACCCGGGAGGCGGAGCTTGCAGTGAGCTGAGATCCGGCCACTGCACTCCAGCCCGGGCTACAGAGCAAGACTCCGTCTCAAAAAAAAAAAAAAAAAAAAAAAAGAAAAAGAATTAATCTAAGACAAAACAGATTTCTCACATCCTATCTCTGTAATTTTGGAGACATCAATCTGATGATAATTCTTCATATATGTTTCTAGCATATCTGTAACTTTTCTCATGTTTAAAACTTTTAAATTGGCCAGTTGTGGTGGCTCACGCCTGTAATCCCAGCACTCTGTGAAGCTGAGGTGGGCAGATTGCCTGACCCTCAGGAGTTCAAGGCCAGCCTGAGCAACATAGCAAAACCCTGTCTCTAGAAAAAATAAAAACAAAAATTAGCTGGGTGTGATGTCACACCCTGTAGTCCCAGCTACTCAGGAGGCTAAGCAGAGAGGATCTCCTGAGCCTAGGGAGGTCAAGGATGCAGTGAGCTGTGATCATACCACTGCACTACAGCCTAGGCGACAGAGAAAGACCCTGTCTCAAAAAAAAAAAAAAAAAAAAATTCAAATTGTATAAGCAAGTGCTGTAAGTTGTATTCTCAATAACTGAAAAATTGGAATGTTAATGTTTTATAATAAATGTTTAAATAATTATGATATATAAATGTAACAGGACAATATATAACTATAGCCCTAAAAAGTTATATTGTAGAAAAATATAAATAATGGTATAAGTTCCACGATCTACTATAAATTTAGAAAAACAAGTTTAAAAACAACATATATAATATGATACATTTTGGCAAATATTTATATACGTAAAAAGTACAGTAGAAAGATAAACATAAAATGTTTAAAGACTATCTCTGAATAGTAAGTATACAGATTCTTTTCCTTTTCACTTATCTGTTTTTAAAAAAGTTTTAAACATCAGTGTATATTACATTTATAACAAAATTATAAAAATAAAAATAAAAATTGTAACAAGATTTTTTTAAAGTTTGTAAATTGCATAAGCTAGCAGTTTATAAGACCTGTGTGGGCTGGGCACAGTGGCTCACACCGGTAATCCTAGCACTTTGGGAAGCCGAGGTGGGCGTATCACCTGAGGTCAGGAGTTTAAGACCAGCCTGGCCAACACAGTGAAACCCCGTCTCTACTAAAACACAAAATTTAGCTGGGCATGATGGCGGGTGCATGTAATCCCAGCTACTCAGGAGGCCGAGACAGGAGAATTGCTTGAACTCAGAAGATGGTGTTTGCAGTGAGCCAAGATCACACCACTGCACTACAGCCTGGGCAGCTGAGCAAGACTTGGTCTCAAAAAAAAAAAAGCTGTGGAAATTACTACACAGATAAACTGAGAGCTGGTGTTTCAGGTTTGGCCGAGAGTGCATAATTAATTCTCAAATCACCATAATAATTATCTGTATAATATATGCACATTTAGGAGTACCTAATAGATACAGGGTTTTAATGACATAAACCTTTATAAAGCAGAGGGGAAAAAAATGGAGAAACCACAGTTTAAAACGGTCACTTATTTAAATAACACAAATCTAAATTTAAAAGATCAAAAGTTTAATCTCAAAATATCTTCAGTAAGTCAACCAAATAAGTTTATTGGCTTAGGTGAATGATATTAAAAAAACAAAAACCGAGATCATTTATTGAGTGTAGTCTGTGTGTAAGACAAGTAAGATTTCTGTTCTCAAGGTGCTCATACATGATGTATTTAATATGTATTTGAAATATTAGCTAAGAATTTAAATTTTAAAAGGTTAAGGTCATACCAAACATAGATGCCATAGGATTCATTACTATTTCAGGCCTTAAATAAGGATTGAGCAATAAGGAACAAAAAACTCCAAGATCTTGTTCTTCGCATAATGATTCAAAGCAAATCAAATGGTTTAAAAGTAGTATTACAAAAATATTTATAATTCATTATAACAAACTTCTGCTTCAATTAATATCAACTTAGTTTCAAGGGATAACAGTATACTGGATGTTGTCCAACACAGTTACCACTTGATAGGGTATCTCTTTTTTTTTTTTGAGTTGGAGTCTGGCTCTTGTCACCCAGGCTGGAGTGCAATGGTGCAGTCTCAGCTGACTGCAACCTCCACCTCGTGAGTTCAAGCGATTTTCCTGTCTCAGCCTCCCAGGTAGCTGGGATTACAGGAGCCGGTCACTACACCCAGCTAATTTTTGTATTTTTAGTAGAGGTGGGGTTTCACCATGTTGGCCAGGGTGGTCTTGAACTCCTGACCTCAGGGCCTGTCTCAGCCTCCCAAAGTGTTGGGACTACAGGTGTGAGCCACCATGCCTGGCCTGATATGTTATCCTTTTTTTTTTTTTTTTTTTTGGAGACATAGTCTCTTGCCGCCCAGGCTGGAGTGCAGTGGCAGGATCTCAGCTCACTGCAAGCTCTGCCTCCCCGGTTCATGCCATTCTCCTGCCTCAGCCTCCCCAGTAGCTGTGACTACAGGTGCCCGCCACCACGCCCGGCTAATTTTTTGTATTTTTAGTAGAGACGAGGTTTCACGGTATTAGCCAGGATGGTCTTGATCTCCTGATCTTGTGATCCGCCCACCTTGTGATCAGCCCGCCTCGGCCTCCCAAAGTGCTGGGATTACAGGAGTGAGCCACCGCGCCAGCGGATAGGGTATCTTAAAACTTTGCAATACCTTCTTAAATGTTATGTAAATACAAAGTGTACTTTATATGGGTTTCCTAATAAGGAATGTCAACAGGGATAGTGGCCTAGAGACATCAGTCTAGCTTTACCAGTTTTCAAAAAACTATAAAAACGTGTGCTTTAGGAGAAAGTGTAAACATACTAGTTACATAAAGCTCTTAGAATCATACCTTTCTATAAACTCTAATAATCAGGGACTTAAAAAATCAATACCTAAATAAATTTATACGTTATTTCTTTATATTTTGTTTATTCTTTCTTATCTTTCAGTCCCCCGTATGTCCTCCTGCAATAGAATGTCTGAAATTACAAAAGGTTCAGACAACACCGTAGAAGGAAAGAAATTACAAATGGAACACTATTTTGTGTGTATTTGTTTTAAAAACTTCCTGAATCTGCATTTAATTAATTTTTACTGAATGATTTGTGTTGAATATTTGTTACCTAGCCAGATGATAATTAATGAAAACAGAAACCATGATTAAATACTATAGTATTATTGTTGTGTTCAGCTAGCTTTACAATTGTGGCACAGTAGTAGTACCTAACATTACTTTCTAAATATGTTTATTGGGCCAGGCGCGGTGGCTCATGCCTGTAATCCCAGCACTTTGGGAGGCCTAGGCGGGCGGATCACCTGAGCTTGGGAGTTTGAGACCAGCCTGACCAACATGGAGAAACCCCGTCTCTACTAAAAATACAAAATTAGCCGGGCATGGTAATGCATGCGTGTAATCCCAGCTACTCGGGAGGCTGAGGCAGAAGAATCGTTTGAACCCGGGAGGTGGGGGTTGCGGTGAGCTGAGATTGCACCATTGCACTCCAGCCTGGGCAACAAGAGCGAAACTCCATCTCTAAATAAATAAATATGTTTATTGTGAAATATAATTCATATAATGTAGAAAGATATGAATTGAAAAGTACGCCTTCCTCTCTAAGACTCTGCATTTAGAACAGAGAAAAATATTTAACTAATAGGCAAAAACTTCGCATTGGTCTATGACACAAAATTACAAATTCAAAAAGCTCTCCAAATCGTTAACAGGGTTAATATGAAGAAAAACCACACCTACTAGTCAAATTGCTGAAAACCGAAGATAGAAAAGAAATCTAAAAAGCAGCCAGAGAAATAACACATTAAATACAAAAAGAGTTTAGCAACTGGAATGACTTTTTTCTCACAAGCTGGAAAGAAGGTCCAATATGAATATAAAAGAGAACCTTATATAATGGAATAGCAAATAAAAAGGTAGAAAATATATATGTATTTAAATAAATAGAGAGAAATTATTTCACAATTAACTGTATTCTTTCTTTTCTGTCCCTTCATATCAAAAGTTTTCAAAAGGCTTCAGCTGGTAGACCCTATGAGTGTGTGGCATTAGACACCCCAGCCTACAATTTTGTTTTTGTTCTTTTGGCCTTTTTTTTTTTTTTTTTTTTTGATACGGAGTCTGGCTCTCTCGACCAGGCTGGAGTGCAGTGGCACGATATCGGGTCACTGCAGCCTCTGCTTCCTGGGTTCAAGCAATTCTCCTGTCTCAGCCTCCCGAGTAGCTGGGACTACAGGCGCACACCACCACGCCCGGCTAATTTTCGTATTTTTTAGTAGAGACGGAGTTTCACCACATTGGTCAGGCTGGTCCTGACCTCCTGACCTCAGGTGATCCACCCACCTCGGGCTCCCAAAGTGCTGGGATTACAGGCGTGAGCCACTCCGCCTGGCCCGGATTTTTTTTTTTTTTTTTTAGTATACCCAAATCCGCAGTCATTAAGTGACAAGACTTTTGTTTTCAACAATAGGAACTACTTAAAATCTGGATATTACATTTTTCTCCGGTTTGGAAGATCAAAAGTTAATTAATTCATATTCAATAGCTCCTCTTCCACTACATGGCTCCTACACGGAAAAAAAAAGTAGGCTAAATAAACAACACTAGAACCAAAAAGTGAAAAGAGGTAAGCCGGGGCTTCGGGGCTCTCTGCAGGAGGCGTCTCCAGCCGGGGCCCAGCGCACGTACCATTCTTCGGCAAACTCTGGATCACCTTCACTGCCGCCTCAAACCTGGTCTCGTGCACGGATCTCGTGTCCGCCATCTCCAGCTGCCAGCGTCGGCCCCGGTCCCAAGGTCTGTCGGCGGGAATCAAGCAGCAGCAGCACCAGCTTTCCCAAGAGCCTGCATGAAACTGGAACATGGAGCGCAGCCGCGGATCAACATGCCCCAAAGGGAGGAGGCCCGGGAGCGAAGCGGGTCAGTTCGTTCCCCTTTGCCCTGCCCTATCCAGGCCACACGGATCGAAGCGGCCTGGCTCCTTCCTCCTCCCCCGGGGCGTGACTAAGGCCACGAATCCGGCCCGCGACGACAGCAAAACAACTCACCGAGAGGAAGAGCATGTCTAGCAGAAGACAGAGGGGGTCCGGGCACCGGTGGCCGCGGAGCCGCTCTCCCACCCTGGGGACCCTGGCGGAGCAGCCACACCCCCCATTCCGCCGGAGTCCGTCTGTCAGTCCGTGCCCTCCCCACAGCCCCGCCCCAGAGTCACCGGAGGATCCACTGGCGTCGCCGCCGCAGCGGCAGTGCAGCAAACCCCACCCACTCGACCCGCCGCCGCGGCGAGGACGCGCGCGGTCCGTCTGTTCCCAGAGAAGGGTCCGGGAAGCGAGGAAAGGAGGAGAGAGAACCTTCCAGGGGGCCACAGCCCCGGCTCGGTGCGGGGAGCACCCTCTGCGCGCTTTTGTTCAGAAGGGGGAAACCGAGGCCGGACCTATGTGTCCGCTCTGGCAGCCGGGTGGACGAAGTGCGCGCTGGGGATGCGCGGTTGGGTTCTGCGCCTGGGCCCAAAGCTGCACTCGACGGCACCGCTGGGCAACAAAGATGACTGCGGTCCCCAGCGCCTGCACTTTCCTAAGTTAAGGTTTGAGGAAGGTAATGGGGCCTAAGCAAAGGGCTTTAAGTCGGGGCAGGTTCTGTGCGAAACTCCAGTACTGCCATTTAAATTATGTGACCTAGGGCAAGTTACTTAGCCTCTCCAGTGGCAATCGTGACACCACTCTAAAGGATAGATGGAGAAAAGCATTGGGGACCTTGGATGGAGGTGCTCAGCAGTCCTTGGCCCGCAGGTCTTCGACAGTTTTCGCCACCCTGAGCCAAGAACGTCCGAGGAGCAGCCTAAGGAGAGGGGAGGTCGTCGGCTCTACTACCCTTTCCACCCAGCCCCAGGGAGCCAGGCACCTCCCGCCGGATTTAATAGGAGACTGGGCTTGGGGACGGCCGGGCACAGTGGCTCACGCCTGTAATCTCGACACTTTGAGAGGCCGAGGGGAGAGGATGGCTTGAGTCCAGGAGTTCAAGACGAGCCTGGGCAATATGGCGAGACCCTGGCTCTATTTAAGAAACCAATAATAAAAGTAAAAATAAAAATAAAAATAGGATACTGGGCGTGGAGGGAGGGGCCAATAAGAGTATGGGTCGTCAATCCTAGATAGGGGGTACCCTGGGCCTTCAACTTACTAGCGCAACCCCCAGCGTCCTTAGGCATTTGGGAAGTGCCCCAGGCCCAGCGTTGGTGGGGGATTGACTAGGTTGTGAGGGGTGGAGTCCTGGGGCCCGGAAATCCCAAAGTCTCCCGGATGGAAGAGTCGTTTTTGTCAGTTCGGGGATGGGTTAGGAGGATTACTAGTAAAAATCTAGGCGCAGATCGTAAGTTACTCTTCCCTCGGAGCCGCGGCGCCGGCATTTACCTTGGTATTGCCGGGCAAGGCCTGTCCGGTAATGTCCCCGACGCCCGCCCCTCGCCCTGCCCCGGGGGCTTATGGGAAATGTAGTCCCCCGCTCTGCCGCGCTTCCGGACACCTCCCAGCGGCGGGCGGTGTTCCTGCTAGCTCTTCCGGTTCGGCGGCTCTGTCCAGCGGACGCAGCAGCAGTGCGACGGAAAGCCCTCCTTCCTAGCCGGTTGCATTTCGTGCTACTTCGAAATGCCACATCCGCTTCCAGCTTAGGGGACAGTCGCTCAGTGGTGTCTTGAGACTGCGGCGGTGTCTGAAATTGCGGCTTCTCCAGCGCCCTCCGGAGGCTTTGCTTCGGGTTCGTCTAATACAACACAGGGGTAATCATTTGATCGTGAACGTTTCACGTTTCTTTGTCTTCAGAAATGAAGAGGACATTTTGTAAAATTACCACACAAAGATGAGAAATAGATTAGAGAACCAACTTGGGGTTGTAAATACTAAATAATTCCAAATGGTAATGTATGAGTGGTTAAAAAGCAGTGACACCTAACGCGTATTATTTTATTCCATAAAAGGAACAAACCTAAATTGAAGAAATACTCATTTCCCCCTTATTGGATTTAATAGAATCCTTTTTATTTTTAATGGGAAATAATAAATATAGATGTTTCAGTTGAAATATAGATGAAATATAGATGTTTCAGTTGTTTAAAAATAAATCGCCTTCTTTAGGGTGATCTCTGATGGGATTGAGGAAAATGAGTGAGTTTGGGGTTATCTTGGCCCAAAGTCCAGTTTGGATTTGCCGTTAGTTCACGGTGTGACACCGTCAAGAAACAAGCTCTGAAAAATTTGGTTTTCTCCAATAAAGAATGTGAAATTACCTAGCACGTAGTAGCCTTCAATATTTTTGTATTTCCTCTTATTTGATACTTAGCTGAGCAATAAATATTGGACAGCAGTACGAGGGAAGGATCTGAATCAGGCAAGGAGGACGGGCACTGCCCAAGAGGAAAAAGCAAACAGGAAAGTGTGCTGAGCAGGTGCCTTGGCGGGGGAGAGAGGGAACGGAAATGTCTTCACACACCCACAGAGAGAGAGAATGAAGTTTCTGTCTCTTATGTGATGTGTGAGTGGATGGACAGATTGTCCTCAACTTTAAGGGTAATTCAGGGTGATCTGTCTTAAAATCGACGCTCTGTGGAATGAGAAAAATACGCTCTGCAGGCCATGCCCACTGCGTGTGCTGGGAGGCTCTGCTACATCAAATGGGCAGATGCGCAGTCTCCACAGAGGCCCCAAGCCTGGGTGTGAGCCAAGGCTGCTTCGAACATGTCCGCTATGTAAGGTGAGTCCCCACAGGGGTCATTTATTTAAGAACCCTGGTGCTTTCCATGGTTGATTTGCTGGTAAATGACAGATGTGAGTGTAGTAAACATGTCTTGCCTCCCCACTGCACCCACCATCCTGTGCATCATGGAAACCTGTCTGGATGATCAGCGGCCATGTGTGATGGGGTGGAAGGGACAGTCTCCAGAGACAGAATCCTGGGACCATCCCTGACTTGGCAACTTAGTAACTTTCTTGCCACATTATTTAGTTTTTTCAAGCCGTAATTTCCTTAAAATGGTGAATATTATCAATCCCTATCCCATAGGAAATTTGGAGCACATGAGTTCATTCAAGTAAAGTATATCATTAGCAGGCCGTAACACAGGCAGGAAGGAAATACAATAATTGTGTGTGTATGGTAGGGTATCACATCTTCATAAAATTCAACCCTACCCCCATGTTAGTCACTTGTCAGGGAGGAAAGCCATGAAGCCAATTCCAAGCGTTTAGTGTGACATCACTGTCTAGGTCATCTAAATCAGGCCATCTTTCTGCCGTACCTGTCTAAGTCCTGCAGCAATTAACACAGCAGAGCTATATTTACATAAGTAACTTGATAGTCTCTGTGTATATGCTGGGCAGAGCTGATTCATTTCACACATCATTTGCACTTGTTATAGAACTCCTTCAATACTAACACCCAAACATATTGGACAAAGAAGAGAAGACAGACACTTTTGTTTTGTTGCTTGTTTTCTGATTTTGTAATAGTGTGTTTTCAAATTCTTAGAGACATTGGCCCCGTATTACAGGCCTATGTCACACACCCTGTTGTGAATTAAAAGTCTTTTTTACAGCTGCCCTTGCAATGATAAACTTCTATTTGCATTGAAAGTAGTTATTGCCCTTTCCATATAAAATTGTACTCATAGATCATTTTAAAGTAATACATTTTTTTTCTTAAAGAGATGAAATTGGAAAATAAAGTGGTAATAGTGTGTTTAATTTATAAGTAAACCCTAGGAACACAATTTCTTTTACTTTGTTATTATCACAAAACAATAAAAATTATCTTGTTTTTAACAGATCCCTATTATTAACAAATCCTATTTGTATCCTATTTATTTGTCACCTATGTGAAAGTCTTCTTTTTCTTCTTGCTAGAGACCTAAATTGTGATGATCAAATTGAACGGTATAAACAAGCAATTCGATGATTAATTTGCTACACCCTATTCCGAAATATGAGACATATTCAAGGCCAAAGTTATCAATAAAATACAGGCAGAAGTTATGCAGAATGAAAAATAAGGCATACACCTGTGTAATCCTCAAGTCTGTTTTTTTCTTCTTATTTTCTCACATCATTCAAGTCACCAAAATTTTATTGCTTATTACATGACAAGAAATATAATGTTGGACATAAAATGAATAAAGGAAATTATCCTTAAGAAATTTACAATGTGGAGAAAAAGATGCAGTAATATAACACTATAATGCAATATAATCCAATGCATATCATACAGTGCAATGAATTCTATGAAAGATCTATTAATAAAATGCTTGGGGAAAACAGAGGAGGTATAGTGACTCCTGATCCTGGTTTCTGGAGAAAACCAGAAAAGACTAGAGAGGAGGAAGCATATTTACTGACCTTGAGGAACAAGGAGGATACATTCTGTGGGAAAGAGGTGGGCTGGGCACAGTGTCTCACATCTGTAATCTGAGCACTTTGGGAGGCCAAGGCAGGAGGATCGCTTGCCAGGAGTTTGAGGTTACAGTGAGTTATGATCACACCACTGCACTCCAGCCTGGTCAGTAGAGCAAGGCCTATCACTATCCAAAAAAAAGTTGGGCATTCCATATAGACCACATGCAAAGGCAGAGGAGGAACTGAGTTTTGGGAGATAAAGAGGATTTGGAAGGAACACAGAAGGTATGACAAATATTAGTGAGATTAGGCCGGGCGCGGTGGCTCAAGCCTGTAATCCCAGCACTTTGGGAGGCCGAGACGGGCGGATCACGAGGTCAGGAGATCGAGACCATCCTGGCTAACCGGATCACGAGGTCAGGAGATCGAGACCATCCTGGCTAACACGGTGAAACCCCGTCTCTACTAAAAATACAAAACTAGCCGGGTGAGGTGGCGGGCGCCTGTAGTCCCAGCTACTCGGGAGGCTGAGGCAGGAGAATGGCATAAACCCGGAGGCGGAGCTTGCAGTGAGCTGAGATCTGGCCACTGCACTCCAGCCTGGGCGACAGAGCAAGACTCAGTCTCAAAAAAAAAAAAAAAAATATATATATATTAGTGAGATAAGAATTTGGGCCGGGCGCGGTGGCTCATGCCTGTAATCCCAGTATCTGGGAGTCCGAGGCCGGGCGGATCACGAGGTCAGGAGATCGAGACCATACTGACTAACACGGTGAAACCCCATCTCTACTAAAAATACAAAAGCAGCTCATTGGGCTTAGTGGTGGGTGCCTGTAGTCCAGCTACTTGGGAGGCTGAGGCAGGAGAATGGCGTGAACCCGGGAGGCGGAGCTTGCAGTGAGCCGAGATCACCACTGCACTCTAGCCTGGGTGACAGAGCGAGACTCCATCTCCAAAAAAAAAAAAAAAAAAAAAAAAGAATTTGGAGTAAAATTGGAGGCATCATATCAGAAATTCAGACGTTAACATGGGGGCTTTAGGGAGCTATTACCTAAATTTAAACAGGGCTGTGGTGATAATTTTTTCTAAAAAAAGCAACACAACAAAATTGAGAGCACTTAGGAGTAAGAATTTGGAAATGGCAGAACCACTGCAAAGGTGGAAAATACTTACTTTTGACTAAATTCCTATATTGAGGCATGTTAAATAGAGAATTCATGACTGTGTGTGTTTTTAATAGAGCCTAAGCTTCTTGAATTATTATTCACTTTAGTTAGATTCACTGCAGTTCTATGCATAAAATTAAGACAAAAAGACAAAACAGATACATTGAAAGTTAACTGAACAAGTAGATTATTCTTCTAGTGTCTTGTAGACTTCTCAAGATGATCAAGAAGTCTACTATGTCACTGTCAGTGCACAATATATAAAAAACTAATGATTTTTTTTTTCCACCAAGAACAATGGTATTGTAAAATCTCCACCCCCTGAGGATATGTTTTCAGGTCTGGGTGACTAGACTGAGAATCAAGGGAGGGAATGATGGCTCTGTGCTTCCTCTGCCCGCTGCCTCTGTGGACACATAGGCCGCTGGCTTCAGTCCCGCTTTTCTTTCTGATGGCCCTTGTTGTTTATGCTAAGTATTTTTGCAGGAGGCCTGAGGCGGGCTGGGGTCACTCTGTGTTCTCCTCCTATGGCAGGGCTTCACTCTCCTCCCCCTTCTATGTTGGGGCTTCGCTGTCCCCAGGGTTCCTGTTGAGGATCTCATCCTCATTAGATGACTTCTTGTGCAGCTTCCATGCCTGGTATTTACTCTTGTGGCATTGAGAGGTTTGTACATATCTTTAAGCCAGAGCGGCTGTCTGAGTGAGAAAGATCCAACCTGAGTCTCACTTCGCGAAGAGCATCTCCTCTATGGCAGAAATCTGAAAATGCCCCTTGAGAATCCTTCATCTTCTTTTGATGACCTTCGGTGAGAATAAATCTCAATAAGGCAGAAAACTAGAATGAAAGTCGTTAGTATTTCAGTCACAAATATTGCCAAGATGAGTTTGTTGTTATAGCCATATCCTGGAACTTCTATTGTGAGCTCACTCGACTTTTGCTCTTTCTGTTCATTCTGGGCTTCCGTGCTCTCGTTGATATAGTTCTCAGTTTTCCACTGGTCCGTATCCATTCTGCCTTGGACACCTTTACTTCTTGCTGCTCACTGAGAAGCTTCATCAGGAGGCCTGTCCTGGAGATGAGCTTGGCACAGGTCAATTGCACGTGGGTCTCAGAGCAGTCCATCTTCAAGGTCCGGATAACATGAGAAATGAGCCTGCGCACATTGTTGTTGGGGATGAGGGACCGCAGCTGCTGGGTTAGCTGAATTTCAAACTGATCACCTGGAGATAAGAGCAATGAGTAATTGAAGCTTTGGGGCTCGGGGGACAGGTCGGTGCCCACGTTGTTGTATTCCCATTTTGTCTCAGTTTGTGTAATAGTTGGCCCTAAGTTGAATGCAGTCCCAGCAGAATCTGCCTCAGGAGGATGATTATAGTTTGTGTTTTCAGAGATGGTGCCTTCTGGCATAGTAGTGTTTTCCATAAAAATGTTTTCTTCAAAGGCATTTCTGGCAGTTGTGTTTTTTACATTAGTGTCTTCTATAAAACGTTCTGAAGGAGGAAATACTTCCGGAAGAGGATTTTCCTGAGGGCTCGGGTCTCCTAAAGATGAAAAGCCCCCTGTGAAGGGAAATGCATAGGCTCTTCGCTGCAGAGAACGGAGGCCTCTTTGCGAGCACCAGTCTATCGAGATAACTTTTCTTTCTGAAGTTTGGACTCTTTTTTGGCCTTGGGTGTTCTGTGAGCCATGCGGGAGTGAGTTTTATGAAAGTGGTATTTTTTTCTGGAATGTACGATTGGTTTAGCAGTCTTCATATTTTTAACTCTAGCCTTTGCATGTTCTAAAATGAAAATGGTGTAGATTAAGTCTTTCAATCTGTCTCTGACCTGAGGTAGGGCTTTTGCAGAGGTGGAGGCAGAAGGCCCGCCCATGGAGAACAGTTTCAACATAAAGGAGACTGCTCTTGGGTGAATGAAGGCTTGGTGTAGACGGTGTTTCCCACTAACTTCTCAGACCCCTGCTCTATGTGAGGCTCTGTCAGCTCCCTTGGGTTGGACTCCCGAGCCTTTTTTCTTTGGCATTGTTCTCTGCAAATGGCTGGGTCCATCTTCCCTCTTGATGCTCTGCTTTCCCACCTCTTCGAAGTGCCTTTTCTGAATGCTCTTTGGGCCCATAAGGAGTCTGTTCACTCTCTGCAGGTTTTTGCCTATGCTTTGAATCTTTGCCAGGCTGTTTTCCTGTAGCTGGATAGTTTCTAATTTCTTTTCAAATATTTGGCATTTAAAATTGTCCTAGAAAGCTGGACTGCATAAGCATGGCAGTTTTTTCTTCCCTTTTAATTTCATCAATTTTTTCTTGTATTTCTGCATCTAACATATTTTCCAGCAAATACAGCTTTCTCAATTTATTTTCTTAAGTTGAGTTGTTGGATACAGGTTGAAGAGAGGGGCTCTTTGTATTGTTTTTCAAAATACCCAGGGGCCTATCTCCATCTTGCACATTTGAAGAAAGCAGTTTAATGAACGGTAACAACATTGATTTCACATCTAGACTTACTGCTCAGAAATATGGCAAGATGTAACTTAGTGCACTGATAACATCCCTCTCGTCATTGGTGTCTAGCTGTCCACTCCCAAAGACTGACAAGTTGATGCCATTGCTGTCTGAGGCCCCCTCCGGCTCAACAGTCAGCTCAGTGCTCGTGTGCTTCTTCGGGGCTTGTCACACCTTCATGAGTGCTCCTTCTGGATTCCCTACAGATGCTTCTTCAGGACAATGTATGGTGTTTGTCAGACATGCACTGTTGCAGTGCAGCTTGACTGTCTTGCAGACAGCCTCAATGCTATTTTTAAATTGGCAGAGGCAGCAGACCACATGGCTAGGTAAGATCAGTTTCTCCAGTTCAACAGTCATCATGAGAATGTTCTTAATTGTTGTAAATGGGACATGCATTGTTTCCATGTCTAGATATTTTAATGCTGGCAGTTTAAAGAGATATGGATCTTCAACAGTTGTCAGAGGATTGCGATTGAGAATTAACTTGTGTAAAAACTGCATTCCGTGCCAGGCCTGAAATGTTCCAAAGCTCAGTTCTGTAAGTAAATTGCAACCAAGATTTATAAACTGCAAAAATAGTAGTGGTTCAAATGTATGTCTTTCGATAGACTGTATTTTATTGCAGGATAAATCTAAATACTGGAGGGATAGCAGGCCTTCAATGAATCCTTATGCAATTCAGTCAAATAATTTTCGTTGAGAATTAGTTTCTCAGTCCAACTGTATGCTTTCCATACATTTCCATCAATGTAAGAAATATAGTTTCCTTGGAAATTTAAGATGCTGAGGGTGCCATTGTAGGTGTTGGGCTCTGGCACAGGCATTTGGCGGAGCCTCTGTTTCAGGCTGAGATCAATACACGACAGCGTCTCATTCCACAGGTACAGAGCTCACATATGTTGGTGCTTGTGGAGGCCTTCTGTTCCTCTGGTGCAGTTACAGCCTTATTTTGGGCATAACATTCAGACTGAACCAATGAATCCTGAGTAGGTTCTAGTTCAGTAGGTGGACCTGTGACTTCAGTCAGTTTTCGATGCAGAGTCTGAACCTGGTCTGGACGAGGAACTGTAGTCTTCTCCAGGGCTACAGAATGTCCAATCTCTGTAGTGGGCTCTGGAGTGATGGCAAGCCCCAGGTCTGGAGGCTGAGTTGAGGTCTTCTCCATGGTTGGAGGCAGTTTAACCTCTGCAGTAGGTTCTGTAGTTATGGTAAGCTCCAGGTCCAGAGGTGGAACTGTGACTTAAGTCAGGTGTGAATGCTGAGCCTGACCCTTGTCTGAAGGTGGAAGTGTCGCCTCAGGGTGTTCTGGAGGAGGAGCTGTAGTCGTCAGGGCTGTAGAAGGTTCAAACTCTGTCGTGGATTCTGGAGTGATGGTAAGCCCCAGATCCAAAGGTTGAACTGTGGCTTGAGTCAGGTTTGAATGCTGAGTCTGAACCTGGTCTGGACATGGAAGTGTCACCTTAGGGTGCTTGGGAGGAACTAGAGTCTTCTTCAGGGGTGTAGAATGTCCAACCTCCGTAGTGGGTTCTGGAGTGATGGTAAGTCCCAGGTCCAAAGGTTGAACTGTAACGCTGGGTGACATTGGATGCTGAGCTTGATCCTGACCTGGTGTTGGAATTGTTACCTCTTGATATACTGGAAGTTGGGGTACAACTTTTTTAGGAGGCTGAGTTGGGGTCTCCTGCATGGTAGGAGAAAGTTCAACCTCTGTTGTGGATTCTGGAGTGATGGTAAGCCCCAGGTCCAAAGGTTGAACTGTGGCTTGAGTCAGGTTTGAATGCTCTGGAGGTTGGGCTACAACTACATTAGGGAGCTCTGGAGTCTGAGCTGGACCCCTCCTCAGCGGTCTGTGGATGCTCAGCTGCAGCCTCCTGCTGGGTTGGAGAGGGATTTGCATTATTAATAGGTTCCGGAAATTGAACTGAAGTCTTTTGTTGAATTGCTAAAGGTAAAGCCTCTTCCAATGACTCTGGAGGCAGAGGTGGGCCCCCATGCGGGATAGCAGGAGGTTCTACATCATTACCTGGCCCTGAGAGCTGAGCTGTAGCCTCCTGGTGGACTGCAGAAGTTCCCACCTCTGCACTAGGCTCTGTTCCTATGGTGAGCTGCATGTCTGGAGGCTTAACAGAGACATTGGGAAAATCTGAATGCTGTGTTTGATGGTGACCTGGAGTTGAAACTGTGACTTCATGATGTTCTGGAGGCTGAGCTGGGGTCTCCTGCTGGGTCTGAGAAGATTCAACCCCCCAGAAGACTCAGAAGGCTGAGCTGGCTGGTCCTGCTCACTGGGGGAAAGTTCAGGCTCTATAGGAGGACCTGGAGGCTCAGTTGGGGCTTCCTCTTGGTTTGCAGAAGGTTCCATCTCTTCTGGAGGCTAAGCTGAGGTCTCCTGCTGGGTCTGAGAAGATTCCACCTCCCCAGAAGACTCAGAAGGCTGAGCTGGCTGCTCTTGCTCACTGATGGAAAGTTCACGCTCCATAGGAGGACCTGGAGGCTCAGTTGGGGCCTCCTGTTGGGTCGCAGAATGTTCCACCTCCTCTGGAAGCTGAATTGGGGCCTCCAGCTGGGCTTGGGAAGATTCTGTCTCATTGGTAGGTTCTGAAGTTATGGTAACCTCACATCTGCAGGTTTAACTGTAATGTTGGGCAAATTATAATGAGCTTGATCCTCACCTGGAGGTTGAACTGTCACCTCATGATTCGGTAGAGTTTGAGCTTGACTCTTTGAGTACTCTGGAGGCCCAGCTGGGGCCCCCTGCTGGGTTGAAGAAGGTTCTTCCTCCTCAGGGAGCTGTGGAAGCTGCCCTGGGGCTTCTTGCTGGAGTGAAGAGGACTGGATGTCTTCAAGGGTCTCTGGATTTTGAGTTTCAGACTCTAGATGGAATTGAGAAAGTCCAACTTGCTCAGGGAGCCCTGGGGGCTCATCCAGGTTAACCCGGAGTTCTGGAGGCAGCTGCCGGGATACAGTGTGTCTATACTCCAATATTCAGCCTGCAAAGTCTATTTCTGATGCTGAAGTTTGGATAATTGGTGTGGAATTCCAACAATCTTAGCAAGACTCCAACACTGAGCTAGATCTTTCTTTAGGTTCTTGGGCGAAACAATAAATTTGGTTGGTTTTGAAACCTTACTGTCTAGTGGAACAAGTATTTCATCTGCCTGATGACTTGCAGCCCGATCAAGATCTGCAGTTTGAAACTTACTTTTGAGGCGAGGAGGCTGAACTAGGGTCTGGTTCTGATCCCCGTTCAGCATTGGAACCACCTCTGGGAGCCTTTCTTGCAGAGTCAGCTTGTCATTTAAATCCTGGTGTGCAGCGGAGAACTGCTCTGACCCCAGGAGCAGCTCTCCAGCTGAATCCGTGTCCAGGTATGGCACCACATTTTCAGTCGATTACTGGGGTGGGGCTGACATCTGCCAGGAAGCAGAGGGCCCCAGGTAATCAAAGTCCGCCGGGTCTGCCGGGGGAGTAGGCGCATGGGGAGATTCCCATGGGAGATGGGAGGAGCGGGAAGACCAGGGCTCAGGCGGCCCCAGGGGTGGCAGGGGAGTTAGAGGTCAGCTTGAGCAGGTCCTTGACCCACTCCAGAGGCTGAGCCTCCTTGACTAGTAGCCACAATAGTTGCCACCTGAGGAGGGGCCATGGGCCCCAGAAACGCAGCTGAACATGACACATGCTGGCACCGCACACTAAACTGCAGCCATTCTGGCAGCTCCAAGACCCTCGTGCCCCTTATAAGCGTGCACCCCGCCCTGTCTTTATGACACCTTTATTTATGCCACCTTTATTAGGCTCGCGTCTAGATCTGCTCCATGTCACCATGTCAGTCTGATGTCACAATCCCGCCCAAGCACCCCTTCCCATGCCTCCTCGCCGGAATACCCCTCCCCTTCGTGAGGGAGGATTTGGGCCGCAGACCCGGGTGGTCCCAGGACTCCAGCGGCCTGCTGTGGTGGGGTAGGTTTGGGTGGGGGCACGGCAGAGCTTCCTGAGGAAGTCACGGGACCTCTCCTGGGGATATTCAGAAGCGCTAGTCCAGTTCCAGCAGCCTGAACTCTTCCTCCTTCAAGGTGAAATCCGAGAGTACTCTTCCTTCCAGGGAGAGCAACTGACCTGTAAGCCCAGCTACTCAGGAGGCTAAAGCAGGAGAATCTCTTGAACCTGAGAGAGGCAGAGGCTGCAGTGAGCCGAGATCGCAACATTGCATTCCAGCCTGGAGTGCTGCTGTAGGTACTATGGCTCCTGAAGCTGCTTTCCGTGCAGCAACTGGCGTCCTCGTCGTCGTCTTCCAACTCCTCCGGGTAATGGGAGTCATCGTTCTCGTGTCGTCTTCCAACTCCTCCGGGTAATCGGAGTCATCGTCGTCGTCCTCCGTCTCATCCTCCTAGTTGTCCTCACACTCCTGGGTCTCCTCGGCGTCACCGTCCTCCCTCCTCCTCGCTCTGGAGGTCATCGTATACCACTTTGTCGACAGCCCTCCGGGCCAGGTGGCTGTCCCCGCCTCCTCGCCCCGCCCCGCCCCCCGCCGGCCCGGGACGCTGGGGCTGGGGCGTGCTGACGGCGGCGGCTTCCTGTGGCTACTGCTACCCACTCTGGGCGAGCTCAGCCGCGTCTTGGGCGCCACCTCAGCCTGGCGGCGGCCCACCTGTCCCGGCTGCTACCGCGTTGCCACGAGCGGAGCCCCCGGATGAGTTCGGATGCGGGCGGCGGCTGCGGGGCCAGGGCGCAGCGCTCCGCAGCGGGAGCCGCGGGCTACCTGGTCCGCCGGCCCGCCGGCTCCTCAGGTTGGAGCCGAGGTGGGGGGAGAAGGGAAAGCGGGCGGGGAGGGGCGGGCGCACTGTGGGCGGCGGGCCGGGTAGGGAGGCCCGAGGGCTGGGCGGGTGGAGGGAGAAGGCTCAATCCGAATCGCTGGGGCCCTACTCTGGATCACCTTTAGCCACCATCCTGTTTCTTCCCGCTCGATGTACTAGTGATTCTTAAATCCCTGTAGGTTTCAAGAAAAAAAAAAATATATATATATATATACACACACATATATATATAGTCTTAATTTGACCGGACCCGGTGGCTCACGCCTGTAATCCCAGTACTTTGGGAGGCCGAGGCGGGTGGATGACGAGGTCAAGAGATCAAGACCATCCTGGCCAACAAGGTGAAACCCCGTCTCTACTAAAAATACAAAAATTAGCCGGGTATGGTTGTGGGCATAAGCAGTGCCAGCTACTCCAGAGGCTGAGGCAGAAGGATCACTTGAACCTGGGAGGTGGAGGTTGTAGTTGAGGCACTGCACTCCAGCCTGGCCGCGGAGCGAGACTCTGTCTGAAAAAAAAAAAAGAAGCAGTTGGACTCATGATGGAGCCCTGGGGAAACATTCTCAAGATGCAAGAGCGGCACTATGCCAATGGAGACATTCTGAAAGCAGGAGGCATCATCTTTTATACATATTGAGTCACAGATCTTTATATAGTAGTTCTTCCTCCATAGGAAGAATCTACAGGGAAATAAGAGGTAGCAACAGTAGTGTCCCCAGTTACAAATGCCCCCAATAATCTAAGGGTTTCCTGTGATTCTCATCCCTGCAGCTCTGGGATCTGGAAGGCAGGCAAGTCCTGCTCTCTAAAGAAGGTTATATGCCGGGGGGTGGGCTTTAGATTCCTTGGGTCCAGTAACCAAAAGACGATGGGGCAGGATTAATATACCCTGATCAGCAGGAGGAGGTGGGACTGCTTTTCCACAGAAGCAGCAGAGATAATCTCTCTTTCTCTCTCTCTCACTCACATACACACACACACACACACACACACACACTCCCCACCCCCATACTCTCTCTCTCTCTCTCTCTCTCTCTCTCTCTCTCTCTTTTGTTATTCATTTCCTGCTGCAGTGCAGTGGCAGGATTTTGGCTCATGGCAACCTCCGCCTCCTGGGTTCAAGCGTTTCTCCTGCCTCAGCCTCCCGAGTAGCTGGGACTATAGGCGAATGCCACCACACCGGACTAATTTTTGTATATTCAGTAGAGACGGGGTTTCACCATGTTGGCCAGGATAGTCTCAATCTCTTGAGCTTGTGATCTGCCAGCCTTGGCCTCCCAAAGTGCTGGGATTACAGACATGAGCCACCGAGCCCACCCTGTCTTCCTTAATTCTATTGTGTGTTGAGAAGTTTGTTAACTTTTCCAAACAGTAGATTATTTACTTATAGGTTAGATGTATCTTCTTATAGTAATTTCACTTGGAGGATAAATTTTATTTTATTTTATTTTATTTATTTTTATTATGCTTTAAGTTCTGGGATACATGTGCAGAACATGCAGGTTTGTTACATAGGTATGTACGTGCCATGGTGGTTTGGTGCACCCATCAACCCATCATCTACGTTAGGTATTTCTCCTAATGTTATCCCTCCTGTACTCCCCCACCCCCAGACAGGCCCCAGTATGTGGTGCTCCACTTCGTGTCCGTGTGTTCTCATTGTTCAACTCCCACTTACGAGTGATGTATCTCAAAATAATAAACGCTATTTATGACCAACCCACAGCCAGTATCATACTGAATGGGCAAAAGCTGGGAGCATTCCATTTGAAAACTGACGCAAGACAAGGATGCCTTCTCTCACCACGCCTATTCAACATAGTATTGGAAGTTCTGGCCAAGGCAATCAGGCAAGAGAAAGAAATAAAACGTATTCAAATAGGAAGAGAGGAAGTCAAATCATCTCTGTTTGCAGATGACATGATTGTATATTTAGAAAACCCCATCGTCTCAGCCCAAAATCTCCTTAAGCTGATAAGCAACTTCAGCAAAGTCTCAGGATACAAAATCAGTGTGCAGAAAATCTCAGGCATTCTTATACACCAAAAATAGCGATCCAAATCATGAGTGAACTCCCATTCACAATTGCTACAAAGAGAATAAAATACCTAGGAATACAACTTACAAGGGAAGTGAAAGACCTCTTCAAGGAGAACTACAAACCACTGCTCAAGGAAATGAGAGGACACAAATGGAAAAACATTCCATGCTCATGAATAGGAAGAATCAATATCATGAAAATGGCCATACTGCCCAAAGTAATTTATAGATTCAGTGCTATCCCCATCAAGCTACCATTGACTTCTTCACAGAATTAGAAAAAACTACTTTAAATTTCTTATGGAACCAAAAAAGAACCCGTATAGCTAAGACAATCCTGAGCAGAAAGAACAAAGCTGGAGGCATCACACTACCTGACTTCAAACTATACTACAAGAAGGATAAATTTTAAAAATGTGAAGCACAATAATTTTTTGTTGACCTTTAAAAAAGAAGCATATTTTTAATTTGGAAGGTACAGTGTTAGATATTTTTACTAAAATAACGTAATTATTTGCACACTGTCTCATCTAATTACTCTGTTAGTTCCTATGAACCTGATTATAAACCAGCAATATTTCTTTTGGCATATTTATAAACTTTTATTTTTATATTTGAATAAATGTATTTAATTTAAAAATATACAATTTTTAAATTTAAAATAAAAATTTAAAATAAAATTTAAAATAAAAATAAAAATTGTATATTTTTAAATTATAGACTCTGCATTTACTCAAAAATTTCTTCTCTCTTCTAATTGATAAACCTATTTCTGATTAGCATTTCTCTAGTTTAATATATCTACAATCACAGCTGTTTCCTATACTAATATAATCTTTTCTGCATATATACTGAGGGTGTCTTATTTACAACATAATATTTTAACAAAATATTTTAACAACCTAAGAGTTATTGTTTTCTAATTATGGAGTACAGTTTTTATTGTTTTTCATTTTTTATTGTTGAAGATGCTTATTCTGTCTTTCATAATTTACGATACTTTTTTTTTTTTTTTTTTGAGACAGAGTTTTTGTGCTGTTGCCCAGGCTATATACCTGTTAGCATAAACTCCTTTCTCACTGGTTGCAAGCCTAAGCTTCTCTGCAGGTAGAGGCTCCTTTAGGCGAAACTCTTCAATTCCTAACAACTTTTGCACTTTCAAAAAGAGAAGAAAAGAACCCAAAACAGGCCAGGCGCTGTGGCTCACACCTTTAATCCCAGCACTTTGGGAAGCCTAAGTGGGCAGATCACTTGAGGTCAGGATTTCCAGACTAGCCTCACCAGTATGGTGAAACCCCGTCTCTACTGAAAGTACAAAAATGAGCTGGGCATGGTGGTGCATGCTAGTAATCCCAGCTACTCAGGAAGCAGAGGCGGGAGGATGTCTTGAAGGCGGGAGGATCTCTTGAACCCAGGAGGCAAAGGTTGCAGTGAGCTGGGCGGTGGAGGTTGCAGTGAGCGGAGATAGCGCCACTGCACTCCAGCCTAGGTACAGAGCCAGACTCCATTCCCCAACCTCCAAAAAACCGAAAATAAAGCACAAATATCTATGCCTCATATCCCTACATGTTTGCAGGAAGGTTCTGCTTTGAACTGTATCCGTATAATGACAGGTGATATCCTGACATTCCACATTTGCCTCTTTGGCATCTGGAAAAGAATCCAGTTTTAATTCCGAAACATCCCATCATCCTAAATGTTCCAGCACTGGTCCCTAAGCACCGTGTCCCCCACACCAAGATAGTGCTTTCTTCCCTACCCACCCCCGCCTCAATATTCCCACTCCCTTATC